GTTCATATGACGTGCATATTCCAAATCATATCATGTCATAGCCAGTATTTTAGTTGTTGCTCACTGATAATGTTCCAGTAAAGATAAACCCCAAATGAATCAGAGTGCTGAAATAAACTGGATCAGTCTGAACAAATCATTCAAGCTTACTTAAGATCAGTCAAAAGAATGATTTGTTTACACATCAAGATTTTATTTTACCAACTGGGAGTATAATTTTTGACAAGAAATACTGTCAAATTTTCAAATAATTTTTAGCCCTTGATTCCATATGATTTGCATGAGAATCCAATTGTTTAACACAGTAAATAAATCTAAATGCAGTAATTGCGCACAGTGTGCACTGAATCAATAAGTCAGATTTTTCTCTGATATTTACATAGTAGTCATGTGGCTTGGCATCACGGTGACACAGTGGGTAGCATAATAGCCAATTCGAACGTTGACTGGGTCAGTTGGCATTTCTGTGTGGAGTTTGCATGTTCTCCCCGTGTTCACGTGGGTTTCCTCCGGGTGCTGCGGTTTACCCACAAGCCCAAAGAAGTGGTATAGGTGAATTGGGTAGGCTAAATTGTTCGTAGTGTATGTGTGTGAATGCAAGAGTGTATGGATGTTTCATATGAACCAGCTGGAAGGGCCTTAGCTGTGTTAAACATATGCTGAATAAGTTGGTTGTTTATTCCGCTGTGGCGACCCCAGATTAATAAAGGGACTAAGCTTAAAAGAAAATAAATAAATGAAAGGTATGTGGCTTAGATCATGGCTTCCCAAACTTTTGAGCCCGCGACCCCCAAAATTAAATTGGCCTCGGCTCAGTCAGAAGCACTGCTGAAAGCTTCCATCATCCAGGTACAGTTTCTGGAGGAGTTTATGAACTCATAGAGCTGGGTGCACCTCTGAATGGATCTAGTGGACTCATGAAGACATGGTGCCAAACGAATCAAAGCTGTTTTTCATCCTTCCTAAAGCACATAAACGCAGCTATTCTCTGAATTAAATCCACGTCAGCCATTTAGCAATGAAGCTAGAGTCACCGGGCAGACAGAAACCTAGCCCATGACGCAAATCCGCATCTATTGTTTCAAGAGTTCACACTTAGCTGATGATTGATTATAAAGCTTGCTTGGCATGCTGTCCTGGGAGAGAGCCCTGAGCTCATAAGATCCACAAGCCCAGGGCTTCCTCCCTTTTGCAAGGCGAGACGGGAGTTTAAGCTCAGGTAGATCTCAAGAACACTCTTGCTGTAGTAGCTAAGGAACAGATAGTGATTGCTCTTTAGAGATAACTACTTACTAAAAGCATGTCTATGGTGCAGATTTGGATTAGTCAATTAACTTAAGTTGCAAGTTTTTGGATGGTGGGAGGAAACCGGGGGAAACCCATGTGAGCACGGGGGAGAATGTGTAAACTCCGCACAGAAACGTTGGCTAGCTTGGTATGGACTAGACCAGTGACGTTTTTGCTGTGAGGCAACTGTGCTAACCACTGGGCCATCGTTCCACACATCTAGGAAAGGAGGAGGATAGGGGTGGAGGAGAGATGCTTCCAAACGAAGATGGCTGTCATATGGAACTTAGGGTATTTATAGTGGCTTAGGAATCGTCTAATTGGTGAATCATGAATTGAATAATGCGGGACTGGCTGCAAGCAATCATAAGCACATGATCCTCTCGAAACAAGTTTATAAATAAACTTTACAAAGTGAATTTGACGAGCGAATGAAGCAAGTGAACTCAAATTGTTTACGCTTGATTAGCACAATTTATTTGCTTATTCAGCGTTTGGTGTGAACACAGCATGTGACAATGTAACAGTCTCCATTTTGTTCTGATAGATTGAACTTTTACACTTACAGGATTTACATGAGAACAAGGAAACAACAGTGTTGGATGCTCTTCGCATGCCATTTCCATCTACTGAACTTTTATTGTACTACTATCCTTAGACATATAAACATTTTATTAGTAAAATGCCTTGTCTTTTGTTCCAAACCAGGATCTCTACAATATGTATTTGAAACAACATAAATGTCATTTTAACAATCATTATACAGTAGTCTCATCACTGACTTTGGAGTTTTGGTTTCATGGGCTTTCTTGATTTCACTATTCCCTTTTCATGCTTCACCTCAGTCGCAAAGAAGCAGTATGTCAGCGGTAGGAGACTCAGGTCCACAGAGACTTAATTATCAAAGCTTCAGAAACGTACATGTACACAACCCCTGTGGCCACACATGTGTGAGGTGACTGACTTTAAACAAACAGTGCAAAATAATGACACACGGGTTCTGGATGAAAAGAAGAGCTTGCCATGGCCCTTGATTATAATGTATGCAGTGTAGTTTAAGAGCAGATGCAGTTTGCTGGTGCAGCAGTGCTGACTACGAAGCCAAAGCCACTTACGGGATTGTAAAGACAAGCTGTCTGTCCTGCAACCTTGAGGGTCACGGGGACCACAGAGACAGGCCATTTGTGAAGGAATTAAGGCTTCAGCCCCTGAGCAGGAGGGAAATTGTCTTTCTCACTATTTAAAATCTTTATTTTCTCTCAACAGGAATCCAAATGGCTGTCCTTAATAGCCACATTAACAGGCTTTAAACTAAACAGTAGTTTTAAATTAAAGCAAACCTTGAGGCGTTTGCTCTTAAAGTTTACTGATTTTATTTAACAGATTTTTAGATAAAGCTGCTTGGTCTTGTTTCAGAATGGACTTTCTAACATATTTTAAAGAGTTTGCATATATCAGGGAGGACTCAGAGTGATGTGCATTTCAACATACCTCTTTTTTTGCCTAGTGACTGATTGTGCATGTGACACTTTCAAGACACTTGGAGCTATATATAAATATTTAGTGTGATATATACAGTACAGTGTTCAGCATAATTTTATACTCGCCATTATAAAAATAAATATTTTTATCCGTTTCTCAGTGATTATAGTCAATGTATTTTGGTGCGTTTATACAATCAGAATAATTAAACATATATATTTATTAAAATAATATTTTAGTCACCAAACATATTTAGAAATTGAACGATAATACAATTAAATTCAAGCTAAATATTGCAAAAATAAATTACAACCTACAAAATTTCAACAAAAAAAAATTAAATTTTTTTGCTTCTCTAGATTTTTCCTCTTTTTTTTATTTGTATTTAATATTTTTATATAACATAAATTTAGGTGCACTAGTTTTTGGACTGTATCGTGAGTTATTTTGTTAGATCAGCTCCAGATTTGGCTTTAGTACTTACTAATGTAATGTATATGCACAAATATAAGATTATTTAGCTTCCTATTAAAAAATATTAATTTAAAAGATAGATTTGTGAGGGGTGCACTTATACATGCTGAGCAATGTTTGTGTGTGTGTGTGTGTGTGTGCGTGCGTGCGTGCGTGCGTGTGCGTGCGTGCGTGCATGCGTGTGTGTGTGTGTGTGTGTGTGTATTCCTAATACATTATAAAAAAAAACTAAAAAGCAGATAACACAGAATTTAACAAAAAAAAAACTTTTAATTGGTTATTTGTACGTTACATAACCAAATATATTAAAAAAGAAAACTGGACTTTGTAAAATCTGGTAAGAAAAAAGATTAAGTAAAGCGATAATTTTGTATTATCAATTTATAGTGAAAGTAAATTTCCAGAAAGCCCTGCAAACACTACATTTTATGTTTTTTGAAAGTAAAAGATATATGATATGTATGGTAATTATCTTAAGTGTGTATCCACTGTAAAAATAGTTTAGAAAAAAAATTGTTTAAAAAAAAAAGTGAGTAAATCTGTTGTCTTTAAAGCAACAAGTTATGTTTACTTAAAGCGAGTAAACCAATTGTAACTTAACAATTATGCATATTCATTCATTCATATTCTTTTTGGCTTAGTCCCTTTATTAATTTGGGGTCGCCACAGCAGAATGAACCGCAAACTTATCCAGCATATGTCTTTACACCGCGGATGCCCTTCCAGCTGCAACCCATCTCTGGGAAACATCCATACACGACCTTCTTGCTGTGAGGCCAAAGCACTACCTACTGCGCCACTGCATCACCGCATATAGTTCATTTACTTTATTTTAGGGCAATATATTTACTTGTTTTTTTAAATAAGGTCAACTTTATTACTTTAAAAGCAAAGTGTAAACTCACTTTTTAAATAAACTACACTCAGATAAATTACTTTTTTCTGCTTGTTATTTTAAATTAGTTGAAACAGCACAATTCTTAAGTTGTTTTTGGAACATTCATTCATTAATTTTCTTGTCGGCTTAGTCCCTTTATTAATCCGGGGTTGCCACCGCGGAATGAACCGCCAACTTATCCAGCAAGTTTTTACACAGCGGATGCCCTTCCAGCCACAACCCATCTCTGGGAAACATCCACACACACTCATTCACACACACACACACACACACACAATTTAGCCTACCCATTACACCTGTACCGCATGTCTTTGGGCGAAACCAGAGCACCCGGAGGAAACCCACGCGAACGCAGGGAGAACATGCAAACTCCACACAGAAACGGCAACTGAGCCGAGGCTCGAACCAGCAACCCAGCAACCTTCTTGCTGTGAGGCGAACGTGCTACCCACTTTGCCTCTGTTTTTGGAACAATCTAATAGTTTTATGCTGAATCCAAATAAATTAGCAAATTTGTAAAAAAAAAAAAAAAAAATATATTAAGTTTATTTAATCGCTTTGTGCTGGGCATTATGAAGGAAATAAGCATTTTTTACCGTGTAATCACTTTTTACAGAATAATCTATTGTAATATAGGTTGATAAATCACATTGTTAATATTAATGAAAAAATGCAATATTTATTTTTGAACACCAAAATGCCTTCTCATGACTAAAATGTTTTCACATGAATGTTTACTGTGAACTTCTATTCAATTTTTATTTTTTTTTTACAAAGATTATTTCCCTTGATCTTCTCACCTAATTTCCAACATGTTTCTTCCAGGAACTCTAACCAGGTGTCCTCTCACAACTGGGAGCCCATCTTCATTGCCCCACCAGCGGAACATCATGTCAGAAATGGAGGATTACTCTCCTCCGAGAGGCCACCCTCATCCTGACCCGGCCCGCATCCAGCAGAACCTCCTGGAGGAGCAGGTGGAGCTCTGGTGGTTCAGTGAGCCTCGCAAATCCCTATTATGCTACTGTGCCTCGGTGGCCTTGATCTTGGGCTGCGGCCTAGGAGGCGTCGGCCTGCTCTCCACCACCACCAGCTTGTCCAGCGAGTGGCGTTTGGGTGCGGGAACCGCTCTTTGTCTTCTCGCTCTGGCTGTCCTACTAAAGCAGCTGTTAAGTTCCGCCGTCCAAGACATGAACTGCGTGAGAAGCAGACGACGGATCAACATGCTAAAGAGCGGAGGTTTGTCGGACATCCTCATTATGTTGATCACAGGAGCCTCTCTGCTTATTTGTGGCGCTGTGCTACTGGATATGGCCTTGGCGTACCACATGCCCAAACCTGGCAAGGCACTCAATGACATGTATATTTCCGGGGTGGTGATGCTGGCAGGAGGGAGTTTTACAGTGTTTGCCGTTGGAATTTACGCTGCAGTAGCTTTCTTCTTGGAGAGGACAGGGCCGGGACAGAGACGCTGGGAAAGGACAGTGCGAGTCTTCAGTATTTCAGCACAGATGCAGGGGAGACGAGAGACTGCATCAAGTCTGGCTCGTCTCATATAACTGTGACTGCAAAATAAATACAGCAGAAGTCAAAAGTTTACTTACATCTAGCAGAATCTGCAAAATAAGAGAGATCAAAGAAAATGCAAGATAATTTTGATTAGAACTGACCTGAATAAGAAATTTCATATAAAAAATGCTTACAAATATTCCATGTGATGGAGTCAAATGTTCACTGATGCTCCAGGATGCATTAAGAGCTGGAGGGTGAAAACTTTTGGAATTTGAAGTTTAGGGTAATTTAACTTTCGTCTTCAGTGAAACATTTCTGTAGCTTTTTGAAGTGCAGTACTGAATGAAAGAAAAAGAGATATTTAGGCAAAAATATGAAAAATATATTCTATTCAAAAGTTTTCACCCACCTTAATGTACTTTGTTGTCTTCTGGAGTTTGAACTTCTTTCAAAATTATTGAGTCATTTATGGCAGCATATCCCAAACTTTTCAACACGCGACCCCTAAAATAGCAATTACAGTGACTTACACCCCTACTGTGCTTGGAGGTGGTTATAAACATACAAATATTACAGACACACCAATAGGAACTATAGACTATTTTGAGGGATGTAAACAAAAACAAGGGTCCCAACTTATTACCTGTTTTACATTTTTAATTTCTATAGCTTCTAGGGTTGGGCGATGTCGACCAATTTGGCATCATATGATGTCTAATGGGAAACATCGCGATGGACGATGGCATCGTCGTTGGAGGCGGTTGTTAATTAATTATTTATGAATAAATAATAAATTCATAACAAATACATTTTTTGTAGCTCACTGTTTTCACAAATTACCACCTGACAATCACTTTTTCCGCGGGACTCTGGCATGAATAGGCAGAGTGATCTGTGTCGTTATAATGGCGATGACAAACTTGGTTGGTAAAAAAGGTGCACAACCAACAGTATGAGGTTTTCGCTAAAATGAATAAGTACAAGCCTGAAAGCAAAAGACTAAAGTAGATTACTGACGCTGTGAAACGTTACCTGATAGATTCAAAAGACAGAAGAGTCGTTAGATGGAGACAAGATTAATTAAATATCACGTCTAACAACTATAGTGAGACACAAAGATCCAGCGGTACATCCGTGATGAACTGTCCGACGTGCACTGCTCTCTGGGGTTTTGTGTTCAAAGCACCCACTGACTGCTGGAGCTCAGACACGCTAAACAAGCAGGTTGCTTCTTCGACAGGGGCAGGACGAAGGATCGTAATGCCGGCTCAGCATTGTGATGTCTATCGGCCATCGGCGAGGGATATTGGCATCGTCTATCGACCCAACCCTAATAGCTTTCAAGAATCCAAAAGGAGCCACATATTGATAAATAATGTTATGATAACTGTTTTAACATTAAGTTATGATTGCCTCTTGCTACAGTTATGAAATAGTTTGATAGCAAACAGGAAATGTTTACAGGCAAAAGACATGAGCACATTAAAATGGTCTATATAAACACAAGCATATTGACACAAAAAAAGTGCAACAATCTAACAACCACATACTTTTTTTAACAGTCATAATCTATTTGTTTAATTTATAATTAACCTCACTTGAGACTGTTGGGCACAATGTTTACAGCACAAGACAACTGTCATACTCCATCATACTCCATGTTCAGTCGAGGCCTTTATTTTTTATGTATGTAAGTGCCGTAGGAGGTGTCAAAAGTTTAACATTGTGCCGTTAAATGAATCTGCTTCAACTAACACTATTGCTGTGTTTTTAATCTAGCATAATAACCCCAGAGGTCACAATCCAATGGAAAAAAAATCTGATGGCTTTTTATTTGCATGTTGTTTTGTTTTCATGTAACTATTAAATATTTTTTCTATTATACATATTAACTGGACATTACTAGAATTTCTATGCTAAGCGGATTTGACACAATCTACATTGTAAAAGCGCTATATAAATAAATGGGAATTGAATTAAAATAATATTATCTTCTGTAGGTTATGAATAAAATATGATAATTACAATAGTTTAAAAACATATTTAAGATTTTTGGAAATCACCAAGTTCCACCCCCTCCCCCCTTTCCATCTCCCCGGGGGGTATGGATTAGCTATGGAATAGATTAAAATACAGAGGAGATGCTGAAAAACCTAAGAATTTTTTAGTCCTGAAGGATTTGTCTAAAGAATATCAACTCATGAACTAAAAAAAAAAAAACGTTACACACCATTACAAAAAATAAAATGTAGGAAAGTTTTGATAGGGGTCACTTTTTTCATAAAATCAGGACTAAATAAAGGATAAAATGCATGTTGGATGATCACTCTTATTTTGATAAATATTACTTTAAATGTAAATAATAAACATTACAGATTCTACAAGATGTATGTAAACGTTTGCCTAAAACTGTAGCCATTCTTGAGCTAAAATCTTAATCTAAGGCACAAATCACGTGTGACATTTAAAATAGCATTTCACAAACAAACTGTTCACATTTTGGCTCAAGGATTCAGGCATTAAACCTTTTAAAGCACAAACATTCAGCTTTTTACATGATTCACACCAGTGAAGTACAGTTAAAAGTACTGAAAAAGCACAAAAACAAGCTAATTGATCGTAAAGCTAATTGATTTTAGGTGAAACATGCTGCTTTCTGTTCAATAGCCTCAATGTGTGTGTCCTTGACTGCTTTATTTATGCAGGAAATGGTGGGCATAGTAAACAGCTGTCCATCTGGAGATGATTTCAGCACCTTTGATATTTGTGTGAGAGAGCAAATTGACCGGCTTTGTCAGTTTGCATGTCTGTGACTTACACAACCTGTGCAGGTGACACTGTGGATCAAATAAATGATCAGAATGTGAATCTAAATGTGAACCCTTTTTATTTATTTCCTTGTTTTTGTAAATGTTTCTAAGGAAAAAGGATTATTTTTTTATTTGTGGAAATACGGGGAAGTTGATTTACACTTTGATGCAAATTATTGGTATTTTGCTCTGGAGGGCTTGTAAGAAACATTCACAAACAGATGGAGGGAAACAGATGGCAGGTTGTAGCAGTTTAGTGGAAATCTATTTCAATTTGTACGCATAATAAATATTCAGGTTCGGCCGTGAGAACTTGAGAAAAATGCCTTTAGAAATGGAGGCACAACATAAAACTTTGGACACATCTTAGCCAAACTGATACACACACACACACACATATGTGAGCTTGGACTACAAAACCAGTCAATATTGCACTGATATATTTTTGGCAATATTCAAAAAATAAATGTAAATGTACAGTATACCCTGCATATATCTCAACTAATTTGATTAGTAATATGCATTAGGACAAATTTATAGGCGTGTTTCTCATCATTCATTCATTTTCCTTAGGTCCCTTATTTATCAGGGGTCGACACAGCAGAATGAACTGCCAACCATTCCGGCATATGTTTTACAGAGTAAGGAATAAAACTCCTGTACACTCTCATAGGAACACACAAACGTATACACTGTAACCAATTTAGTTAATATAATTCAGCTATACCGCATGTCTTTGAACTGTTGGGGAAACCGGAGTACCTAAATATTTGTATCTTAACCAAATATTGTTCTATACTAAGAAACCATACATTTACACTCACCGGCCACTTTATTAGGTACACCTGTCCAACTACTTGTTAACATGTCTAATCACATGGCAGCAACGCCATGCCTTTAGACATGTAGACATGGTCAAGAAAATCTGCTGCAGTTCAAACTGAGCATCAGAATGGGGGAGAAAGATGATTTAAGTGACTTTGAATGTGGCATGGTTGTTGGTGCCAGATGGGCTGGTCTGAGTATTTCAGAAACTGCTGATCTACTGTGATTTTCATGCACAACCATCTACTAGGGTTTACAGAGAATGGTCAGAAAAAGAGAAAATATCTGTTGGCACAAATACCCTGTTGATGCCATGGCTTAGAGGAGAATGGCTGTTAGAAAGGCAACAGTAACTCAAAAAATCACTCGTTACATCTGAGGTTTGCAGAAGAGCATTTCTGAACTCTTAAAACGTCGAACCTTGAAGCGGATGGGCTACAGCAGCAGAAGACCACACCAGGTACCACTCCGGTTAGCTAAGAACAGGAAACTGAGGCTACAATTCACAAAGGCTCACCAAAATTGGACAATAGAAGATACAAAAAACATGGCCTGGTCTGATGAGTCTCAATTTCTGTTGCAACATTGAGATGGTAGGATCAGAATTTGGTGTGAACATGAAAGTATGGATCCATCCTGCCTTGTATTAACGGTTCAGGCTGTTGGTGGTGGTGTAATGGTGTGGAGCATATTTTCTTGGCACTCTTTGGGCCCATTAGTACCAATTGAGCATTGTGTCAACACCACAGCCTACCTGGGTATTGTTGCTGATCATGTCCATACCTTTATGACCACAATGTACCCGTCTTCTGATGGCTACTTCTAGCAGGATAACGTGCAGTATCATAAAGCGTGAATAATTTCAGACTGGTTTCTTGGACGTGACAATGAGTTCACTGTATTCAAATGGCCTCCACAGTCACCAGATCAGGATCCAATAGAGCACCTTTGGGGATGGGGTGGAACGGGATATTCGCATCATGGATGTGCAGCCGACAAATTTGCAGCAACTGTGTGATGCTATTATGTCAATATGGACCTAAATCTCAGAGGAATATGTCCAGAACCTTGTAGAATCTATGCCAAGAAGGAATAAGGCAGTTCTGAAAGAAAAAGGGTCCAACTCAGTACTAGTACTGTGTACCTAATAAAGTGGCCGGTGAGTGTTTATGAGATGCATAAAAAAATATTAATTTATTCTATGAAGGTGTGATAACATTTCCTTCAAATTTTGAATAAAAAAAAAACGTGTTTTTGCATTTGCAGCAAGGCTTATTCACATACGTAACGGACAATCTGTACTGCTGATGGAAAAGTGTTTTGAAAAGAAAACTGTATTTTCACAAATACCCAATTTTATCAGGTTGTAGACTGACTTCATTTATCCGCAAAAAAAAAAAATTCAGGACTTTATTCACATCTCAATGTTTACAGCATTTCAATTTAGTCACGAACGCTCAAGCGCACTTGCTTGACTCTCAAGAACCTGCGAAGTTCATTCTTGCATGTTAAACAGGTGTGGTTGAACCTGTTCATGTTTTTCGATCAATATTTATATGTGAATAAAAAGCATGAACTAAATCACGTAGAGCAACCGTGTCTCTTCAAAAGACTTGATTTGTTCAGATTTCTTTTGGAAGACTTCTATAAACACACTCTGAATGGATGGACAGAAATCTCAGATTTAATCAAATATCATCATTTGTGTTCTGAAGATGAACAAAAAGCCTTTGAAAGGACACAAGGTTGAAGAAATAAAAACAGCATTTTCTTTTTGGAATGAAGCATCTTTCTCACCATGAAGCAACATTCCTTCCAAGTAAGCTTTTTTTCTTTTGCATTTAAAATAAGTCCAATAAATGTCTAAACATTGATATATTGGCAAAAACAAGGCTACATTTGAGCTGCCAGTGAAAATTTAATAGAGACCTAATAATAGTTCAATAATAGACGTCATCACAGTAATGAATGACTACATGTGACGTCTATCGAATTTTTGTATTTGATGACTAATCTAGATTAAGGCTATTGTTAAATGTCTATTTGATTTTTACTAACAGTCCTAATTCAGCTTAGTTTTAGCCAATACATCAATGTTTAGGTGTCTACTCGACATATTTTAACCCTTATGTACTGTTGGGGATGTTTTTATCCCCTCTGGGGTGATTTTGAGTATTAAATTAATTAACGTTTTGTGTTTCAGCTAGCAGAATGATTTTTAGTGAAAAATCTTATTCTGACACATATGTTCAGAAAATGCTAATAAAAATTAAAAATTAAAATTAATAAAAAAAAACTCAACAATTCACTCTGGGCAAATTTACTACCCTATTGTTATGCTAGGGATGAAAACTAAATATAACTGCTGTAAAAATGCATCAAATATTTTTTTCTCCTTTTTTTCTTTCAGAAATCTGTTAATCAACCTCAGTTTTTATCAAAACTACTCAATTGTTTTGAAAATTACAGGATTTTAAATGTTTACTTGCCAAATTCATAAATTATGTCACTGATTTAGGGAAAAAAACGCACTCAAAATGACGTATTTTCAATATGGTCAAGTAAAAAGTAATTGTGAACTGGATTTTATTTGTATCTTTTATGTGAACCAACATTGCCTTTGATGCATTGTTTTTTCTCCCTAATTTACTGTTCGTGGCTGTTTTTGCCCCAATGACTTCCATTATAACCACATATTTTGATTGCAAAACCATGACACCATATAAACATGCATTTTTTATTGTTGGTGGTTTTCCCTGTTGGGAAGAGGTAAAATTTGCAATTTTTACTGTTGATCATCTGTTGGCACCATTGACACTTTAGATTAGCTTAGTTTCTGGATTTAATATGGAGTATAACAGCAAATTAAAGTGTGTGCCTGAGTGTGTGAGAGTGACCTCTACTTTGATATATCTGAGAAAATGTAAATATGCATCTCAACTCTCAGAACTACATGGAGTAAATGAAAACAAAGACTGTGTATTTATTCACCATCAAATGTGGTTATAATGGAAGCCAATTGGGCAAAAACAGCCACCAACAGTAAATAGCAGTGCATCAAAGTCAGTGCTGTTACTAATCGTTCACATGTCCAAAACCAGTCCGCAATTACTTTTTAAATTGAAAAACATGTATTTTGTGTTTGTTTTCCACTAAATCAGTGACATCATTTGAGAACTTGGCAATTAAAAAGTTAAAATCTTGTATTTTTCTAAGCAATTTAGCAGTTTTGATCAGGACTGATGTTGATTTACAGATTTATGAAAAGAACATTTAAGGAAATATTTATCTGATGCATTTTTATAGCAGTTTAATCCAGTGGATGTTTTCTTCCCTAACATAACAAAAGGGTAGTAAATTTGAACAGTGCACAAGGGTTAACCAGAAAATTTCTTGTTGATTTCTATTCTCCTCTAATCACTACTAAAAATGATCCAAAAATACATAAAAAACAGAAAGCTACAGGCAATATAAAATGTTAGTTTAGTCCATCTCACATGTTTAAGAAACCCTGCAGCTGAGTCATTCATCCTTAAGCTGTCCTGTGAGGACAGAAGCTGCTCTGAAATGGCCAGTAACAGACTGGCGGGAAAGCAATTATGGGTGGGAGTGACTGGGTCGTGTTGGGCAATGCCTGTTCTTACCCACAACAAGCTGGCTATTGTGCAACAGCTGCTCAGTCACCATGTAAACAATGGCTGACTCTGTGACCCATTGTCACCCATCTATTGGCCTGTCATGTGTTGGGACTGATAAGAAAGAAAGCGGGCAAAAATAGCACAACAGCGTACAACACCCATATTCATGGATGATTGAAAACGAAAATATTTCATCCATTTTCTCATGCGTAAACCAAGCAATTTATTTTAAAAGCTGGAATATCCTTAGGTAAATAAGGCAAAACTGAGCAGCAGAAAATAATCACAAAATGCTCGCCAAAACAAAAATCCATTTATTTTCCTCACAGTGACCTTTAGAATGGTATTGAGCACAAAATGTTGTCAATAAAAAAAGATCAAAAATACATATTTCAGATTTAGTGTGAAATAAATATCAGATGTTGTCACGTCATTGACCTTTGGTTAATAAATGATGGAAGAAGTCGTTTTAATGTGACAAATAATATATTCTGCTGCCTCTGCGAAAGTGGCAGACGGTATTCACACACGCACAACGCTGATAAAACAAGTGGTGTAATGCATGCTGAATGAAAGGAAAGGAAGGATGATTTCCCCAGCATGAACACCTACAAAAAAATAAAACTAATGTTTGATCAGATGTGTTGACTTGCATGGATTAAAAATGCAATAATTAATACAGTGTCAACATCAAGCAGTTTTATGTTGGTAATATCAAAAAGCCTTTCAATTCAAAGTGTATAGGCATTTGTGGTATTTGGAGTCAGAACAAACCAAACCGTAGTCAAAGATACAGGCCGCTGTGGTGAGAATATAGTGTTACGGTGCTGTCCAGACTGTACGCTACCTTATTAATCATTGATTCTGAGCACAAGGTATTCATTTCACCGGGTCTGTGGTTATGTTTACAGCGCTACAGACATTAGATTATATCACACTGAGAGATAGCCCCTTCACCAACTGCAGAAATGAAAGTAAGCAGCTTATGTTAATATCTTGACAAGTAAAAAGGATAGATGAGCCGGAAAATGAAAATTCTGTCATCGTTTGCTCACCCTTGTGTGGTTCCAAACCTGTGTAGTGTTTCTATGCTATAATCTGGTGAAACATTGAAACAGTTCACACTCAGAAATTGATATTACATTTTACAAATAATTAAAAAGAGTGGCACACATTTCAGTGATCATTCTGAAGTAGAAAGTCTGTATTTTATTTATCTTGTAAAATGTACAGTACTTCAAAAATTATATTTACCTCTTTGAAAATCATTATTATAGTGCAATTTTGACTCGTATGTAATCTTTCTGCTTTCATTTAATTTTTAAATGTTTTTGTGTTTTATTTGTTTTTTATATCTATATAGTTTTTTTTAGATTTTAGGGTACCACTTTATAATTATACACTATGACTAATCTATTAAGCATTAACTCTACATTAATAAACGTTAGTAAGCAGTTTATAAGTGCAGATACAAATACTCTTGACCTACAAGCACATATAAAATGTGCTTAATAATTGTTCTTTCATACTTTGTTACTGATTAATTTTTCAGGACTAAATTAAGTATTGCATTGTTTACAAATCATTTGTATTTAAGAGTAGTTGGAGGATTTTAAGATCATTCAGAATGAGTTAGTTAATGATTAATAAACTATTCAAATCAACGTTTATATATTATTATTTAGGCATATACTAATATCTAATCATTTCTGTTAATAAATGCTTTATTAACTCTACTTCATCCAGTGTTGTGCCCAGATCTAGTGAGGACTATTTATGTTTTATAAATCCCTCTTAAATAATAATTAAAGGCTCAGTATCAAATGAACTAAAAATAAAATTTTCTGTAAAGTTTAACCATTGCTGAATAACAGGAGTTTCGAAAATGTAACATAAAATGTAATAAAACAACAACATAACAATTTAACAATATATTACGATACAACATTTCAATGTTATTTAGTGATGTTTAAACTGCACAGTAATATCATTTTAGTTAAGATTGCAGAGATCTATTTTTCATTTGATACAGTTTCATTTGTGTATCAACAAATGAATTGAAATTAATAAAGTCTTTACTTTCTTTTTTCTGTTTAGACTATAACTGAGACTTTACTGTCATTTATAAGGGATTTATAAAGCATAAATAGTCCTCACTTCAGATTAGGTCACAAACTGGATGAAGTTGAGTTAATAAAACATTTATTAACATACAAATGATCTAATAATATATGCCTGGATAATAATATATAAATGTTAATTTGAATATGTTTATTAATCATTTACTTACGCATTCCGAATAATCTTTCAAAACCACTAACTTCACTTAAATAACTGGTTCGTAAATAATGTGATACTTAATTTAGTAATGAAAAAATAATAAAGTATGGAAATGCAATCATTAAGCACATTATAAATGTGTTACAAGTCAAGAACAGAGCATATGTATCTGTGGTTATAAACTGCACACTAACATCTGTTAATGAAGAATGAATGCTAAACAAATTATAATTTAACTATATATCATATTATATTTAATTATGAATCATAGTGTGCAGTTACTATAAAGTGTTTCCGGTTTGGGTTTTTGGTTTAGTTATGTTTTCCTGTGAAAAATGTAAAAATATATATTTTTAAGGATTTCATTGATTTTATCTGTACTTTCAAAGTCAGTGGAGTCCAAAAAAACAACCCTGGACACCATTGACTTTCATAGCATTGATAAGCAAAAAGTTTAACAATAACAACCCTGACCCTTTGTAAATATAAATTTTTCTGTGAAGCATATACAAGTATATTATTAATGTTTTATTATATTTTGTCCATGAAATGAAAGTCAAAAGAATCCAAAACAACAACTCTATTGACTTTCATTCATTCATAGATTTTCCTTGAGTTTAGTCCCTTATTTATCAGGGGTCGCCACAGCGGAATGAACCTCCAACTATTACAGTATTTGTTTTACGCAGCGAATGCCCTTCCAGCCTCAACTCAATACTGGGAAACACCCATACACTCTCACATTCCCACACACACACACACACACACACTCATACACTATGCCCAATTTAGTTTATTAAATTTCTCTATACCGAATATCTTTGGATTGTGGGGGAAACCGGAGCACCTGGAGCAAACCCACACAAAAATGAGGATAACATTTAAACTCCACACAGCCAGCCAGGACTCGAACCAGCAACCTTCTTGCTGTAAGGCAACCGTGCTAATCACTAAGCCACCTTGCCACCCCGTTGACTTTTATATCATAGATTTTGTGTGTGTGTTTAAATGGAGAAAACACATACAGGTTTGGAACAACACAAAGATAGAAATATCAATAGATTCTAGCTCTGTAACACAACCTCTGGATTATAATTTAAAATCAATAGTTTCATAGGAGTTTCTCAGTAACTTTGCTGTCCAACTTCCTTGTTAAATTAGTAAAACCTGATCTGAGGTGAAAGCAAAGGAGAAGCTAGAGATGTCCAACTGCTGTGTGAAGGCGGTGTCTGTCTGACTGATGAAACAGGACCGACAAAAGACACAACACACACCGGCGCTGTCCTCTCTCAGTTGGTCCTCAGTTGATAATCTATAAATTCAGAGTCAGATAGGTACAAATAATTAATTGCATATAAAAAAGAAAGGACATACAGCATAGATCAAAATAAGAGAATTTATATACACTCTTTTCTTAAGATTAAAGCAGTCAGAAATAAGTAGGAAATGTAGAGGCCCTTGCTTTGAATGACTACAACACATCTGTGGATAAATCACATCTAGTCTCTCACAAGACATCATTAATCCCCTCAGGATATCACTAGTCTCTCAAGACACGACTGCTTTCTTGCAGCACATTACTAGTCTCTTACAAAATATTGCTAGTCTCTCTTAGGACATCCCTAGTGCTGTACTTTGAGAGACTAGAGATGTGCTAGAGAGGTCAGTGATGCTCTTCTTCAGTTCACCAACTGCAGTGTTTAATATCCATAACTACCACTAAGGATTTTCTAGAAAATTTTAATCTGGTTTAGATCAGGACTCTGAGCTGTCATTTCATTATTATTATAATTTTTTTTGCTTCATGGAACCGTTTTAACCGTTTTCACGCCCTGGCCCTGCAAGAAAATTTATATTTGATTTGGGAGATTAACAGAGTAAAGAAACCATGTTGCTCAAATAGCTTTTGATAGTTCAGTATGGCCTGTTGATGGTTCTGCTGATGAGAAGGGTTTGGTCACTATAGACTAGACTTTTAGTTTAAAATTAAATGTCAAGACACTGTATGCTCAGATACTGATATTCACCATGTTCAGTGCTAAACTGGAGAGTACTGTAACTCCAGCTGCAGTGCTAATATGATTATCCATTGACATTCATTGCATTATTCGGTCATATTGTGCATTTGTACTTTTTTGTACTTTTGTAGATGACTAGCCTTTGTAAAAAAAAAAAAGCAATGTTCTAGAAATCACAGACACAGAAAGACCAGCCTATCCTCCCACAGTGTGGCTGAAAGGGTCATTCCTTTGTCGTTCATCTGGAAAACCTGCTGCCAGAGGGTGTCAGTGACATGAGAAAGGCTAATCATCTTGCAAAGTCAGTGAAAACTGGAAAGTTATGCTGTGTGTCCACCAAAGTGTTTTTCCTCAAGCTGAGCATTTGTTTTCTGTTGTTGTCAACGGTAGGACTACGCTGCTGAGTGGGATCAGTTCTGAGCTCGGCATTTTTCCAGCTGTAGCAAGCTGAAAAATGTGGTGTCACTTTTAAGCTAGTCCTCTAAGTAAAGGAGGGAAGGAACCAAACAATGCAATAGTTAACAAATAATCTGTTAAAGACCGACTGAAAAAAGCTGCTCAACAAAAAAGCTCACACATGAGGGTTTTTAGAACTGTCTTCACGTTTCTGCTGCAGTAGACACTAGGCATGGCACGATAACTGGTTTCAATGTTTATCGTGGTTTGGAGGTCAAGGTTTTAAAACTGCCAAAATTTGCTGGTATACCTTTCATATGGTATATGTAAGGTTTTTTTTTAACGTTTTAACTTTTTTGGTGGGGCAACAGTATCTCCAGCAGAAAATTACCCTCAACATCAACAGCTACTGTTCCAAAGTGTTTCTAAAAATAAACTAAATTGTGTTCAATGGGGAAAAAAAAACTTTGTTGTTTTTTTGCCAGACATATAAGAACATATTTTAGAGCAGTAATCACAATTTCTTGAAACCGTGATATTTTTATCCAAGGATTAGGGATGCACCGATATGGATTTGTTGGCCGATGCCGATAACCGATAATTCTTCAGACTTGGAGGCCGATAGCCGATATATATAGCCCGATAATTATAAATATTTCAAAATGTTATATTTTTATACAGCAAACTTCATAAAAGCAGAAACTCTGGTCTTTTTAACTGAATAGCCTATACTCAAAGCAAAAAAGCTATGATTTCAAAATTATATATTCAATTATATATAACCTATATTCACGATTTCACACAAATCAGCATGCAAAATATACATTATTTCATTTTCTTCATAGCAAACTAACATGCAAATTGACTGTTGCATAAAATTAAAAAGGTTAAATAACAAAATGGGATTTAATTAACAAGCAAGTTAAATATATTTTAAATAAGATGAAAATTAAAGAGCTAAGGACTAAAACTAGCTTAAATGTTCTTGAATAAAACGGGTTACAGTAATGTACAGTATGTGTACAAATATGTCATGTCCGAAAAAGCCTTTTTTTAGAGGTGTTTCGACAGTTCAGAGCCACAGTACAAGTGATAAGGTAGATACAGAATGTATTATTTTAGAAAATGCGACATAAAGTCATCGTATTTGTCGTTTTAGATTATTTTCGAACACATGTAGCATCAACGTTTCTGTGTACGTTCTTGCTGTCAATCGCGGGGAAAATGATCGATGAAAAGTTTATGATAAACTGCTGTGAAGGCGCAGATTTGCCCTCGTATTTTGATACAAACCTGATCATTGAGCTCAGATGACTTTATGACAAACACAGAGCAGAATATAAAGACAGAACGTGTGGCCCGTATGCTGGATTCAGTAACCGGTGCTCCTAGGCTCTCCCCTGTTGATCTGTGAAGGCTCAAGATCTATGTGTGTGTGAAGGCTGTCAGATCAATGTGTGTGCGCGCGTGTGGTGAAAGTTCTTGCGCGCTCTTTATAATCAATATGAACATTCCGATCAAACTCAACACAAATCATCAACAACACATGGGAAGCAACGCGTTGATAATAACAAATAATTATATTAGATTAAAAACCTTCCGTAAAGTTTTTGTTTAGCGCGTCACGTGTGCAGGTCAGTTTGGTGTGTGTGTATGTGTGTGTGAAGCGAAGAGGGAGAGACAGAAAAGAGGAGCGCTTTTTTCGGGTCCTCGTTCATTCACCGGCTGCAACTAAAAGAATTAACCCCGAAACTAATATTATTCGGCCCTGGAGTAATAAGTAAATCTCCCTGCTATCTCTAACACAACAAATAGACAGAGCAGGAAAGGCTTTCATGTGTAATATTTTTTCCTGAGGCGATTTGAAGCAAAATACACAATTACACTCAATCAACCATATCTACAATGATAAGGATAATGGTTACTTACTGAGTTATTAACGCACAGCAATACCACGTGAAGAAAGCACGGACTTTGAAGGAATAAACATGTGTGAGGAGAGATCCATGAACAAGTCTGAACATGTTCCACCCACGCGTGCGCAGCAACAATTACGTAATTTATCGGCTTAAAGATATCGGCCTAATTTAGACATCGGATCGATAACGATAATTTTAAAAATAGCATTTATCGCCCGATAACGATATGGCCTCCGATATATCGTGCATCCCTACCAAGGATATTATACTGTCAGAATCTTTTAATGACCCATAACTAGTGGACATGCACAAATGAAAATATACAAATGAAATAATTTTTTAAAAATTACCACCAGGTTCCAGATTAACACCTATAAATGATATCTGAACTAATTTTGATCAGTGCTCTTTTTCAAATATAAAGATTTTCAATTTAAAGACACACAAATGAAGATATTTTGAAAGCTGACATTAACCTATAATGAGTAACTTCAATTATAGGAAGATCAAATACCATGGAAGTCAATGGTTACAGGTTTTTAACTTTCTTTAAAATATCTACTTTTATGCTCACCGGAAGAAAAAAGTCGAACAGGTTTGGAAAAGGGAAACGGGTGAGTAAATGATAACAGAATTGTCAGTTTAGAGTGATATGGGTTACTGTTTAAGGGTTATTCTTTACTTCAAAATATATTGTATGTAACTCACGAAATACACTTAAATGCTGCTTTTTAACTTCTGTTAGGATTACTTCTAGAATAAACGGTGACCTTAAAATGTAGAACACTGTAGGTTTTTCTTTACTTTTGATCGCCTCTGTAATTCTGAGCAAATATTGTGTGTTTATTTGAAGGCACTCCAATGTTATTGGCAGTTGGGTGTTTGGATATGTCTGAAGAATTGCATTGTGGCTTGATGACTGCTTTGCATTTCTTATGAATAAGTGAAGAGGGCTGAAGGATTAGAGTGACTCTCTCTCCTCTGGTGTCGCTGATGCAAATGGAAAACTGATAGTCTTCGCTATTTCACAATGCATGTGTGTGTGTCTGTGTGTGTGTGAGAGACAGCAGAGAGCATAAGGCTCATGTTCACTGAACTCTTAACCAGGGTGAAGGTAAACTTTATATCAGAATGATAATTGAGAAATGGGCTGACGGTGTTTGTGAGACTGAATTTGTGAATGTTTCTCACCTCCACTCTGAGTGATATAACGCACCCACGGTAGTGCCTGGTATCCGCTCTTCTCAATAATCTTCAAGTATCGCACCTGTTTGTTATCAGACAAAAACGAAAAAATTTTTTTAACATAAATATACTACTACTGCACTATAAGTATAATACTACTGCATAATAACAATAACTATGGCAAAACATAAAAAGTCTTAATATTGACTAATTTAAATATTATTTATTTTTTAGCATACAATTTATTTAACTAAAACCGTTAAACTGAAAAAAGTTAATTAATAATAAAATAAACACACGGAAATAAAATGTACTTTAAATATTAAAATATTGCAATTATTTAGAGAGTTATATCTCAACGATATTCATTTAAAGCACAAAAATAGTCAAAACATGATATATCATTTAATAACATTTAAAAAAAACTTTAAGAAATCAGTAAATAACAAGATATTTAATTAATTAATTACTTTGCTTTTTTAAAATCTTAAAATAAGTTTTTGTACCAAGTAAACAGCAAAAAAATCAGTCCAAGACACTTGCAAAATGTGGATTTTTTAAAAAACTTTTTTTTTTCACATTTTTCCAGTGCCTTAGACTCATTTTTGCTGTTTATTCTGATGAATCCCTTACCATAAGAGCACCGACACATTATTTAAGCTACCCCTGAGCACTTTTAGGTTTGATTTAAGATTTTCATACAATTTTATAGTAGACTATTTAAAAACTAAATCTAAATCTATAAAACTAAGATCATTTTAAAAACATAAATCTAATATGTTTTTACTTGAAATAAGATAGACATTTTTTTACACATATATAACACAAAACATCTAAAGAAACATAATTGGGCTGCAAAGGAGTGAATCTCTGATGTTACTATTTTATTTTACACAAATGATGAGTTCAGATGCAAAAACCTCTATGTGCCATCTAGAATTTTGTTCTTCCATGAGCATTTCTCACAGCCTCTTGTGTTTATTTTTAGTTATTTCATGTTAAAAGCGATTAAAATAACTTGTTCTTTGACATTAAAGTAAATTACTAAATCAAGACATAGGAGCCTGAGAAAAAAAGCTAATATTAAAGGAAAATTTCAGATCTGAACACTTCAATTCTAACCATAAAATCAGGCTTAGTCCTAAAATAATGCTATAAATGTGAAAACTGGCTGACTTTGGCTCACAGTAAGACAATATTAACATCTTTGTGTAAGGTTCTAGTGAAAATAAAGAACAACAGACACTCTTTTTTAAAAATCAGCACCCCAAAATGATTAAAAAACAAACAAGGCAAGCAAATATAATGCATGACAATGTTATGACAAAATGATTTGTAAGGTGATTGTGTTTTTTTATCCGCACCTGTATGCCGGACACTGTGAAATAAGGAATCTCAAACTTGACTGTGATAGGTCTCTTGCCCTCCAGTTCATCACTTTCAACACTCGGCAGTCCAAAATGAGCTCGCATCATGAACTCCTTTCCACCCTTCATCCAGGAAAGACACATCATTAGTTTCTGACACATCTAAGCGTCTAATTAACACTGCAAAAATCATCACATCAGTACTAAATTCTCATTAACAGTTCAGTTCTAAACGAGTCTTATTCCTGAGAGGCTGATGCAAATTTTCCTCTATTTGCAATGTTGTACAGCACAAGACATCATCGGGAGTTGGAAATAAATGATAGAATAAATCTATAATAAGGCACAGTTGTCGGTTCAGCATAGGTTTACACTATGTTTGAAGTCCTTTTTTCCTGGCCAGGCATTACATTTGTTTAATAGTTCCATTGGAGTGCTTGTTATTTTTTATTTCATATACATGCTTTGTATGGTTTTTGGGGCTTTTCCTGTAACTGTAGAGGACATAAGAAGAGAGACATAAGGAGAAATTCTGCTCTGAGAATTTAAGATACTGCTTGAACATGGTTGGTTTCTGGATTTATTAGATATGACTTTGAGTAAATGTTAACATTGATTTTATTTTAGGAAGGTCTGATACAATATTTATCCTTTAGCATGTTTTGACCAGAAAATTGGTAAGAATGTGTGACAGCCACTTTATTAGGTCCACCTTACAAGTACAGAGTTGAAACCCCTTTTGCCATCAGAACTGCCTTAATCCTTTGTGGCATACTGTAGATTCAACAAGGTACATTACATGTATCATTGACATGATAGCATCACACAGTTGCTGCAGATTTGTCAGCTGCACATCCCTGATGCGAATCTCCCGTTCCACCACATCCCAAAGGTGCTCTATTGGATTGCGTTCTGGTGACTGTGGAGGCCATTTGAGTACAGTGATTCATTTGAATACTCATTGTCATGTTCAAGAAACCAGTCTGAGATGATTCGCACTTTATAACATGGTGCGTTATCCTGCTTGAGGTAGCATCAGAAGATGGGTAACACTGTGGTCATAAAGGGATGGACATGATCAGCAACAATACTCTGTGGCTGTGGTGTTGACACAATTGGTACTGATAAGCCCAAAGTGTGCTAAGAAAATATTCCCCACATCATTACACCAACACCAGCCTGAACCGTAGATACAAGGCAGGATAGATTCATGCTTTCATGTTGCTTTCATGCCAAATTCTCCCCCTACCATGCCACGTTTCTTCCCCATTCTGATGCTCGGTTTGAACTACAGCAGATTGTCTTGATCATGTCTACATTCCTAACTGAGTTGCTGCCCTGTGATTGGCTGATAAGAAATTTGCGTTAACAAGGGGTTGGACAGGTGAACCTAATAAAATGGCCGGTGATTGTGTATATTATATACGTGTAGCTATCTGATTCTTTTTTTATCTTAAAGTATTTTCACTTTTGTATTTTTAAAATCAAAAAACAGGATTAACTAAAACAAAACCATAATCATTTTTGCTACATTCAAAGTTAATACCTGAATACCTTTTTATCTGTTTTACCTTTTATCACAAAACATTTTGGAATATTGCATAAAAAAGTGAAAAGTCAAGAGGCATGACAATTTTTAAAATAATCTGCATAAATATACCAAATAAACTCAGTCATGTACACAAATGATGATGGAAAACATAATGCTGTGACTGTAAAACAGTACATCAGTGGAGTGTTTTATCACACAGCATCTCACATGTTGTTTTCATCATTTCATCATTTTGTTTTCATCAAATACCTACAACCTGTCACCATTATTGTTTTTATTTATTACATAAAAAACAAAGACCCACAGTGGCTTCTCCTATTTCAACAACTTCCATTTTTCTTAATGCTATTTGGAGCTGATTTGTTAGGATGTGATCGTTCTCTTTTTTATGCAGTGTCCCAACTTTGCACAAATGTAAGTCTTTAGAACAGAAACAGCTAATCATACATGAAAAATACATAATTTAGATCCTAAACATCTCGCTCAACGCAATGCACTTACAGGGAAGGACTTGATGTTCCACTCCACAGCACTTTTCTCAGGAACCCATTTGGCCTGTCCTGTGGTGGTCTTGAATTTGGGCGAATCAGCATCACTGGGAACAGGAACTAAGATGGACACATTATTGGCAGTGGAGCGGCTCTTGAACTGACTGCGGGCCTGAAGAGAACAGATGAAGGAACTGTAGACACAACTCCACAGCCTAAACTTAAACTTCCAAAGCTACTTTCTTTCAGACACTTAAGTTTGGTGGGTGTATAGCAAGGGCAATAGGACAGAGCATGTTTACGTCCAAATCTGACAAGTCTTTGGACAGAGCTCAGGTAAACCATGAGCCTTTCCCCAAGACAGAAGCCTGAAAGCTAATTACTGAGAGCAGAGAGAGAGAAAGAGCAAGAGTCAGTGGAGTGTGTAGAATGTGTAGATGTGAAGCTCTACCTTAACCTTGATCTCTACTCGACTGTGAGAGAACTTCTCTATTACGCTCTCAATCCATATTAGAGGCTTCACCTGTCAGAACAGAGAAAAGAGAAGAGCAGTGAGTCTGTGCTGACACTTATTGAGACACCTGCTGTCAGTTGCACATGAAATCTCCTTTTGAATGAATTACATTAAAGTGTAATGCTTATATTATAGTAAATGTACTGTATAAAGATCAGCTGTCACACTACTGTACTACACAAACTGTTCAATTAGTTCAGTGGAACACTGATTATCTCATTATATCGCATTCTGGTTCTGATTTTTCAATGCCATAACCACTTTTTAATAATTTTACATTTACATCATGACATTTATATTTCATTCATTCATTCATTCATTCATTCATTCATTCATTTTCTTTTCAGCTTAGTCCCTTTATTTACATTTCAAACTAGTTTTTTCTTTCTTTAATTCTTTTTTAAAAGAATTTAATAGTTCAGTAATGCAAGGTTTACTAATAACAGTAGAGACGTTTGTGATCCTGAATCCTGGTCTTAAGTTGTAAAAATGTTTCGTAAGAGTTAATTTACTGATTTTTCTTTTATGCCAAAAAACAAGAATATTTGGTAAAATTTATGTTCTCTGTAGACATTTTCTACCTTACATACAAAACCTAATTTCTGATTAGTAATGTGCATCAATAAGAACTTAATTTGGACAACTTAATAAACAGTTTTGTCAGTATTATGATTCCTCAGATTCCAGATTCAATCTTATTTCTAGAGCACCTTCAACCAACCACAATGGGTACCAAAGTGCTGTGCATAAACATAATAAACATGTAAACAAGCAGGGAACCAAACATAAACTCACAACTTTTTTAAAAGCTAAAGAAAATAAGTGACCTCTGAAATCACTTCAATGTAGATGTTCTTAAAGGTGCTGCGAGTAAAATTTTGACTCTTCTAAAGCATAAAAATACCATAATATGTTTGCAGATACTTAAACATGCAAAGTGAACATTCTTTTTTATCTGGAAAACAATGCTAAAGTCAGATATTCTGCTTTGAAAATGTGCATTACGTGCCAAAACGCTATCTTTGTTTCAGTTCTTTTAACCTGCCCAATGTGACATTAATTAATTATATTTTGGCCCTCTGGGTTGCCTTATTGAAAAACCAAGTATATCATTCATACAAATAATTCAGAAAGGCTCTCAAAGCATGTGTATGTGACCGAAATGAGACTTCCGGAGGACAGTAGCAGACTATGAACTGATACATAGATTCAGAGTTCCACATGAGGTTATTATTTAGCAAATAATAAAATGCTTTGCTTTTATATAAAACACGACTTAATTCAGCCTTTAGGCTCGATCGTCAGACTCGCTCCAGTTGGTCCTCAATCTGGCAACCTGCACTTGAATTTGTGTTGATCTAGGAATGCAATACCTAGTTCAACCACTGGGTGTCAAACTTACATACTGCACCTTTAAGGAAAGTGGAAGAGCCCTTGACATTTGAAGTAATATCGCGGAACTGTCAAATAGAGTCAATCCTTTTAGAGCGAAAAGATCTCAATATCAGAGTCTCTGAGTCTCAATCCCAGCCAAATTTTAGCCTATCGTAGAAAACTATACATCCATGGAGAACTTATTTATTGTACATAAATATTATAATTACTGTTAAAATACACTTATGACTGATTTTGTGGTCCATAGTCACATTTATACATATATTATATATCTTCCACAAATTTACTAATTTAATATAATAAAAATGATAAATGAAAAATTATATCAACAAAAATAACTATATTAATAAATTAATAATAATAATATCTATTGATAATGTATATATATATATATGTATGTGTGTGTGTGTGTGTGTGTGTATGTATGTATGTATGTATGCATGTATGTGTGTATGTATATATAATTATATATATAATTTTCGGCAACATGGTAGCTCAGCGTTTAGCACTGTCGTCTCACAGCAAAAAGTTCAATGGTTCGAGTCCCGGCTGGGTCAGTTGCCAATTCTAAGTGGAGTTTGCATGCTCGTCCTGTTTCCTTCGGGTGCTCCGGTTACCCCAACAGTCCAACGAAATGGTGAATTGAATTAAATTGGCAGTATGTGTGTAAATGGAAGGGCATCTGCTGTGTAACACATGCTGAATAAGTTTGTGGTTGATATATATAATGCATATACTTTAGAACAATTAGTACCAAAGCCAAAACAGGAACTAATTCAACAAAAAGAACTTAACATCAACATATTAATTTAAATTGCAATAAATGGGGGAGAAAAAAATCAAGAGAAAAATAAAAACTATAACAATTTGTTGAAAATTCCTCCTTTGAATAACTTTTTGCAATAACTCATTTAAATTTAAATGTATTATCTTTCTATTAATAAGGATGTCAGTTGACCAAACCTTATTTTAATAGACACAACTGTTTAATAATGGTTTTGTTTAAAGCTTTCAAAAGTTATTAGCCACTGCGAAATTGATAATAATATTCTTTTTCAAAAGGGGTATGCTCATTTCCACTGAGCACTGTATATCAGTTTGAATATTTCTCTCTGCATACATACCAAACACAGCAGAAATATTGGGGTAGCTCGCCAATTTCCTCTTCCAAACACAAGCCTTGTTTCATGCTTTTGTTTTGGCCTTTTAATTCCAAATTCTTTTAACTTCAAATTCTTTCTGAAGTCTGCCTTGTATTCTCAATGCTTGTTTTTTATGTTTTAACCAATATACCAAATCAACCAATATACAAAATCTACCTTTAAACAAAACAACTAATCATTTAACTTTAATTTGGCATTGTAAATGACTACAATGCACAACACTTTTTGACCAAATCTATCCCCACATTTATTGATCTAGAGAGTTGTGTAGATGCTGCACTGACCGTGGTGTTGAGCCGATAAGACATGAGCTCAGATTCTCCATCAGGTGGGATGAAAGAGATGGTCCGGTCATTTTCGAAGCGAGACAGACGCACACACTGATGAAACTTAACATCTTCAAGCTCAACAGACTTGGTCTTCTCTCCTGAAGGTAAAAGAAACAAGATCAAGCATCAAGCATCTAGCATAAAAAAGGGACCACTGATGATTATATGTTGTTATTTAATATGTTTAATCAGTTAGAAGCTGCACAGACAGACACACATCATAAATCACACAAAGCTCTGGTTTATATCTGGCATTAAGATGTTTTATTTTTGAAAACATTTTGAGCTTTGCCACAACTTCTTTGGTAAAATCTAGTTTGGTTAATGTTTTATTACATGTATACTATCTTTAATATGCTGTTAATCAATTTATTCGATGCACAGCAACATACAGGGGCACAATTTTAGTCACCAAAAACGTCTTATCCCTTACATAAAATTATTTTATTTATATTAACAGACTCAATATAATCACTTTTGATGCTTGGTTAAATGTTTAAATGTAAAAAAAAAAAAAAAAAAACACGTAAATAAATGATAAAATTGCATACATTATGTATTGGGAATTAATAGGAACAATAAAAACTACACTACTGGCTTATTAACTGTTTAGCATTTATAAAGCATGATCTAATTTTTTTTATCCCTAATCCTACCCAATACCTAAACCTAACTACTACAAAACTAACTTTTAATAAACAGCTAGTTAGTAGCTTACTGAGATTCAAGTCTTAGTTAATGGTTTGTTAATGATTTGTTAATAGACTAAATTGTACATTAAATTAAAGTGTAACCAACAAGTTATATATCTTTACTTACATTGCTTTATTCATAAACCAATTTAGAAATAAAACTCGTCTGAATCAATGTTTTTCATTGTCATCTTTCAATAGTGCATTTTTATTCATTCATTCATTTTCTTGTCGGCTTAGTCCCTTTATTAATCTGGGGTCACCACAGCGGAATGAACCGCCAACTTATTCAGCAAGTTTTTACGCAGCGGATGCCCTTTCAGCCGCAACCAATCTCTGGGAAACATCCACACATAAACACACACACACACTACGGACAATTTAGCCTACCCAATTCACCTGTACCGCATGTCTTTGGACTGTGGGGGAAACCGGAGTACCCGGAGAAAACCCACCAAACGCAGGGAGAACATGCAAACTCCACACAGAAACACCAACTGAGCCGAGGATCGAACCAGCGACCCAGTGACCTTCTTGCTGTGAGGCGAACGTGCTACCCACTGCGCCAATGCGTCACCCATTGCATTTTCAGTATTATCTTTTTTTTCTTACTTTCAAATGACATTTTCTTGCAGTAATTAGAGAATATCAAAGGTCTTATTGGACCCATAAATCTGAAAGTGATGCGGAATTTAAAAAATTATAGTACAAATTTGGAAAAAAAAAAACTGTTTAAATAAAGACTAAATGATGATGATTTGTCAAAATAAAAAGAATATATTTTATTAAATAACTGTAATAACAAATTACAGCTCTTTCAAAAATCCTGAAACAAAAATCAAATGGTTAAACTGATTTCACTGCTTTTCGCATTTCACAGTAAAAATGTTGACAAAAATGAGTAATTTTTTTGAGAGGATTTTTTTTACTGTACTGATGTGATACTGAGTTGGTCTGCACTCAATAGTTTATTAAATACACAGCAGGTGATACGGAAACCACTGTTTTGGCTATGAGCCGTCATCAGTACAATGCAAATAAAAATGTACTTGCATAAATTAGAGAATATCAAAAGAGCAGGGTCTTTTTGGACCCAAACATCTGAAATTAATGCAGAATATAAAACATTACAGTACAATTTACATTACATTACATTACAAAGTACATTACAGTACAAATAAATTTTTGTTTAAATAAAGATTAAATGATGATGATTTGTGGAAATAAAAACTAAGATATTTAATAAATAACAGCACTGAAAAAAATTGTCTGCGAAATTGTTGCAAACAATTTAAATGTGTTGAATTTAAGCAAACAAATTACGCTTAGTATAGTTCAACTTAATTTGTTTGTTTAAATTCAGCCCAAATAAATTGTTTACAACCACTTTTTAAAAAATCTAAATCCAGAGAATCATCTTTAAATGTTTTTTTCAATGTGGAATTCTGAAAAAAATCTAATTGTTAATTAATTTTACTGCTTTTGGCACTTACCATTTAACATTTGACAGAAAAGGAATGTTATTTTTTGTACTGATAGGTGGTCTGCACGCAATAATATATTAAATCAACAGCAGGATATACGGAGAGTGCTGTTTTGGCTATGAGCCTTCATTAATAGAATGATTTACTGTCTATTGATGCCATGTCATTTCAAGTGTTCACAATCAATTGAGTCATAGATTCTTAAGTTAAATTCTTAACCATTAACCAAAGGGTCACACATCAGGAAGAAAAAAGGATTGTACATCACAGGGAAAAAAAATACAACAACCAACACACAGTTTATTAATGTATGTTCATCCATCCACTTTCTTTTCGGTTTAGTCCTTTTATTAATCAGGGATCACCATAGTGGAATGAACCACCAACTTATCCAGCATATGTTTTTTACGCAGCGAATGCCCTTCCAGCCGCAACCCAACACTGAAAAACACCCATATACTCTCTCATTCACACTCATGCTATGGCTAATTACGTTTATTCAATTCATCTATACCACATGTCTCTGAACTGTAAAGGACACCGGAGCACCAGGAGGAAACCCAATCAAACATGGGGAAACTTGCAAACTCCACACAGAAATGCCAACTGGAACTCAAACCTGTGGCCTTTTTGCTGCGAGGCGATCGTGCTACACACTGCGCCACCGTGACACCCATTAATATATGGTAACATGGTATAAAGGTTTGTATTTACATAACATATACATTTGCACTGTGTGTTTATATATGTATAAAACACACACATACTGTACATAAAATACAAAAATATAAAAATAAAAGGCGGTTCATTCCGCTGTGGTGACTCCTGATAATCATGGACAAAGTCAAAAATATGTATTTTAAAATGTATTAAATATCTAAAAAAAAAAAAAAATTTACACAATATAGTCATCCATATTCCTAAACACAAAAAATATCCACAGTACGCTCAAATATTTGTAGTAAATATTTTTTTTAGATTTTTAGATACGATGAATCACAAATAATCGTTTGACAGCACTAATATAAGTACATGACTGTACCATATGTAAATTACACAAGCTAATTTTGCAATATTCCATCAAAAGCCTAAACATACACCTGCCCATAGACCATTACTTATCATAAAAGCGAATATATATCATCTAAACATCTACTTTATGATTGGCTCGAGAATAAAAAAACACATCTTAATACCAGGTGTAAAGAAGGCCGCAGAGTGTTCTAATGTATCCTGGAAATTGCAAACAATAGCACTTCTGTGTGAAGGTAGTTTATTTGTTTGACCTCAGCAAAGAGAAAGGCAGTGACTACAGAAGAGCTTCTTAATGACTCCGGGCCTCTGAGCCCCGAAACTCACTAATACCACAGTGCTGAGGGATTTCAGTGGAGTATATGTGTGTGTGTGTGCTTGTGTGCGAGTCGTTCGCTTTATATTTATGAATGTACTGCACTCTGTCCAGGACTGACATTTACAGGGGGAACATGAAAGCACTCTCAGAGGTTCGAAGGGGGAACGCACAGGTCAGATGAGGAGCTCTGGGTGTCCGTGTCCTGCTATGAGACACTGAAGCACCAACTGATGCCATCAACCACAGGGACTAAAGGTCGGGATGGGGTTGGGATGCTCTCTTATAGCTCTCTGATTGGCTCCCCAGGGCCCACAGGCAGAGGCTTCAGGGGAAAGTGATTGGTGTTCTGAAGCAGAGGTGCACTTTTAGGCACACAGTTCCTGACGCGGCTGTATGAGTGCTCTAAAGATAGCTGGTTTGTCTGGTCGTTTATTTATCAAATGTTCTGTACAGTGTTAATATTATTTGAAAACTACATAAAATGCAGCTAATAATCTACTAAATGTACAATGAAAATTATAGTCTGTAAATATACTGTCAAACAATAATATCAGATTATTTGCAGCAGTCCCAATGCAAAAGAATGACAAACTAATTTAACTGAATGTTATTTAAAATGATAATTCCCATGGCTTTATGAATGAATGAATGAATGAATGAATGAATGAATGAATGAATTAACGAATGAATGAATGAATAAACATCTGCAGAACTGTCTTAAGTGAAATAATTCAATAAATAATTAAATTTCTAGTGACTTTGATATATTGTATTAAATCAATCAATCAATCTTATTCTAAATTAATAAATTAAAATTTAAGTAAATAACAATAGGGGCGACATGAGGACTCACTGGTTAGCACTGTGGCCTCACAGCAAGGTTGCTGGTTTGAGTCCCAGCTGGGTCAGTTGGTATTTCTGTATAGAGTTTGCATGTTTTCCCCGTCTTCGCATGGGTTTCCTCCAAAAACCAAAGACATGCGCTATAGGTGAATTGAATAAACTAAATTGGCCGTAGTGTATGAATGTTTCCCAGTACTGGGTTGCAGCTGGAAGGGCATCCGCTGTGTAAAACATGTGCTGGATAAGCTGGTGAATCATTCCGCTGTGGCGACCCCTGATAAATAAAAGGATTAAACCAAAGGAAAATTAATGAATAAAAGAATTTAAGTAAGAGTACATAAAGAAATGTTTTTTTTAAATGAATAATTGAATGTATAAATAAATAATATAGAATTTATATGTTGTATTAAAATAAAAAATACTTATTAAAGGATTCTAGCATGAATTCATTGATTTATTTATATTGTATTAGTAGTTTAATTAATAGGCTAAATGAATTTATATTTTTATTACTGGCTTTATAATAAATAACTGGTATTAACTACTGTATCAAACGAAATAACAAGAAGCTAATAACATTCTTTCAAAGAAGATTAATGCCGTCCTCATTTAATGTCCTAGTTTCACCTTGACCAAAATGGGTTTCTTTTTTAGCCTGTAGAGGGCAGTGTTTCATTTGTCAAATTTTTGTGCAAAGAAGTTAAAAGATTTCTGGGTTCACATTAGGACTGAGCATGATAGAAGAACAGAATGACACCTTCCACCTTCAGCTGTGTTACTACATTTTATGCCACAATTCAGCCTTATAGCCGGAAGTGGCACAAGAAACAAGCAGCTCTATGTCACTTCCTAGAAACCGTATCTGATATAAATAAAACAGCTTCCTGTAGAAGTAAATGTTTTCAAGCTGCAGCAAAACTAGGATAAAGGAATAGTTCAACCAAAAATGAAAATATATGTTTAAATTTCTGTTTCCTGTTTCAAATTAAATATTTAGAATTTTGACCACAAACATCCATAGTAGGAAAAATATGGAGGTTTTTAGCTTCTGGTTTCTAACATTCTTCAAAATATCTTCTCTTGTGTTTAACAGGAAAAAGAAAAAGAGTAAATAATAACAGAATATATTTTTTTTGGTGAGCCATTGGAGTAAATTCTGTAAATAATAAAGAAGATAACACGGATCTTAATTTATTTTAACAGAAAGTGATGGTAAAAATTAATTTGATATTGATTCCCGTTCTGCAATCTTGTTCTAGACTGAGTAACTGCTTCTTTACTGCACATGCTGAATGCATAAGTGAGATCTGGTCTGCTGTGAAATGAACACCCGCTGGTTCAGGCCTGCGGTGGGGATTAACCAAGAGAACCAGATGAATGGAATTCATCTAACAAGTGCAAATTAGAGAGATGCTTAATATAAAGTAGGTAAATGCGATCAACTGACTGCTAGACTAACAGCCCTGGGATTTAAGTTTGTTACTGCATTACAAAAAAGTCAATTTAACACTGAAATGTGTAATTGTGTTGTCCACTCATCTGGAACAGAACTGCAAAAATGCAGACTGATAAACAGGTTAAAATTACCCTTGCAATTACAAGCTTGTGAAGAAATTTAATTGCAATTCTGGCCATATTAAAAGCACAATTTGTACAATTTCTTTCTTTTCAATAGCAAAAAACAACCACTAGAATAGTGTTATTTTGCTGGTGTATCCAAAATGATAAGTGGTCAATAAGTGGTCAAATGAAATGATAGCAATTTTAGCCAATAGTGTCATTGTTTAGCCATCTTTCTGATTTGATTTTACATAAGCTTTAATATATTTTGTGTTTTATAAGACAGCAGCTTTATATCAGAACCTTAAAATGTATTTAGTATGATAAAACATCACTGCTTTTTCTCCACATGATCATGATGCTGACTTGCACTCGTTTCTCATCAGTAACAGTTTCAACGGTCTCGTTTAGCTTTCACAGCTTTTAGCCTTACTCTGCTTCATTACCATGATAATAAGTTTTGAATACTTTAGCTCAGCCACAAGCATGATCTCTGCTAGGCATGGGACGATAACCGTTTTCATGGTATACCACGGTTTGTAGAATTCAAGGTTTTACAACTGCCAAAATTTTCTGCTATACTGTTCCAAAAGGCTGGCTCACACTGAGATTTTATATAATCCTGAACGATTGTAGCATGTCAGACTGCATGAACATGGCTCTCATGTCATACTGTAATATCTCAACTGTTATAAGGTCAGACAGAACGACAATAAAAGCACGCCAAACACGAAAGAAAACGCCCGTGGAGTTTGACCTCATCCACACGTGACACTTTCACTATCCTGTGTTCTGGAATTATTCTTTGCAGCAAATGTATACAATCTGTAGCCACAGCATGCCTCAATATTAAAAACAGGAAGAAAATTTCCCAGCGGTCATTTAAATTGTTGCATGGATTGCGTTATCAAATTCTGAGCTCCTATTGGTTCTTGGATTGATGTTCATCACAGCTGTTGATACAATGCAGGAAAGTGTCTTCATCTGAGGGAAAATCTGATTGCAACGGGCAATAAGCGGTTGTCAGTGAACATGTCAAACCAACGATCAAAGACCACAGATTTTAGAGCAGGATTTCGGGAATCTTTTAGGATTTCCCAAATTTGAACCGGATAATCCTCACACAAAAATACAAATTTTCGCACTTTTAGATATTACATGCAAATATAAACGGACTACAGAGCTTGCGGGGCGCTCGCCTGTGACGTCAGCACCACCCTGCTACAGACAACTTTTCAAGCCTATTTTTCCTTTTTACAGTAATTGTTATTTTTAGTATCTTGTATCTTGAGTTTGTGTTCACCACGGACCTTATTTAAGCAATTTTACTGAAATCCCATTTAAAAAACATTGACTTTGGGACGAGGGAACTGGAACTGCTCAAAATCTAACTCGCTTCCGGGTTTTTGCATACAAATTGATGTCATAGTTCCTCCACTCTATACTAGCCCATACTTAATCTCTGCAGGAGTCCTGTAGGATGTAACGAAGATGACAACTTCCACGATTTCACATGACATCAAACGACACATTTGTTTGTTGTGAATACACACTCTCTAGTGGTCAAAATGACATAATGTGCCTTTAATTTATTAATAAACATAATAGTTTTCAACTGTAATTTAAATGAATTATATTATTATGGATGAAGGAATATCTGCTCCAAAAAGGCTAAGTAGACCTTTTTGACTTTGTTTGCAAATATGGTATATAATTCTTAAAAATATACAGTTAAAGTCAGAATTATCAGCCCTCCTGAATTATTAGCCCCCCTGTTTATTTTTTTTCCCCCAATTTCAGTTTAACGGAAAGAAGATTTTTTTTAACTCATTTATAAGTAAAATAATTTTATTAACTCGTTTCTAATAACCGATATATTTTACCTTTGCCATGATGACATTAAATAATATTTGACTAAATATTGTTCAAGATACTAGTATTCAGCTAAAAGTGCCATTTTAACTGGGTCAATAAGGCAAGTTAGGGTAATTAGGCAAATCATTGTATAACAGTGGTTTGTTCTGTAGATAAATCGAAAAAAAAATTGCTTAAGGAGGCTCAAAATGTTTTTTATTATTATTATTATTATTATTATTATTATTATTATTATTATTATTATTATTATTATTATTATTATTAAAACAGATTTTATTCTAGCCAAAATAAAACAAGACTTTCTAAAAGATTTTTTTATAAGAAATACTGTGAAAAATTCCTTGATCTATTAAACATAATTTGGAAAATATTTGAATAAGAAAACAAAAATCATATGAGGGCTTCAACTGCATACAAAATTCAAAATTACAAGGTATAACCTCTAAATTAATAAAAAATAATAATAAAAATTCTCTAAATTAAATAAACAGGATACATTTACAGAGCCTTAAGCTGCCACCACAGCAAAATGGAAATCAACTTACAACTTGTTTACTTTATACCATTCTCTGCAATAATGTAAGTAAATATTTCACTGTCAAAATAATGAGCCACATTTTAGTTTTAGACACACAAATGTACTCACGTCCGGTGATTTCAAAGAGCACTTTATCATTGAGTCCAAGCCTTAATTCAGGCATGCCTGACAGAACGACTTTGAGTTTGATGCATCCCAAAATCTCACTCCGCAGAACGCTGCCCGTAGCACTGACCTACAACGAACAAAAACACTGAAGATAAATGCAAAGCACAATCAAAAGTGGCAAGGTGCGATATTGCATCATCACCATTACTGCCATCTACGATTTATTACGCTCCATCAGGCAGGGCAGCAACTGTGTGATTTGTGCTACAGTATATTGCTCTGGCAAAAAAGTGAGTTGAATTATGCAGACATAACTAGGAGTATGAGAATGAAATATATTAATGAAATATTAATAGTATACATAAAGCTGGACTCTGAAAGTAGATCTAAAACATCCTAAACAGTGGCCACATCACTCTCAAATACAAGAAGCAGAAAAAGCCAGAGCGATAAGTCTGCATGGATGAATAGCAATGCAGAATTAGAGAGCGATGAGACGTGATTTAGCTCTTAATCAAGAGTGGTGCTGCTCAGTGCTACTGTCGGCCAGCGTTTAGACCTTGAGCCTGAAGAAAGCTAATGAATCCATCAAAAGCCAGTCCAGGCTGAGAGTTCAGACGCAGAAATAAAAAAAGAAGAATAAAAAAATACAGAGACAACAAGATCTTAAAGACGACAGCTGCTTCCTGCTTCTCTCAATGTAAGGAAGTCTGGAGACACGACCCTCGACCCTGAGGAATATGAAGGAGGGAGGTGAAGTACAGTAGGATGATGAAGAGATAGCGTGGGCTGTTTGATGTCGGTACTGTAGAAGCATGTGGAAAGATGTTTTCACAGAACATGGAAATTGCACTCTAAAAATGATGGGTTGTTTTGTAAGGCAAATTTGGGTAAAATGTGAAAAAAACAACTGTTGGAAGGAAAGGAACGCAAAATACTTTCTGCAATTTTAAATGGCATATTCTTGCAGAACTGAGAGATGTAAACTAAGAATTTAAAGATATACATTTATTCATTCATTCATTTTCCTTTTGGCTTAGTCCCTTATTTATCAGGGGTCGCCACAGTGGAATGAACCACCAACTATTCCAGCATATGTTTTACACAGCGGATGCTCTTCCAGCTGCAACCCAATACTGTGAAACACCTATACACTTTTTCATACACACACACACATTCATACACTACGGGCAATTAAGTTAATATAATGCATCCACTGCGCATGTTTTGGACTGTGGGGGACACCGGAGCTCCTGGAGGAAAATCCACACAAACACAGAGAGACATGCAAACTGCACACAGATATGCCAGCTGGGACATGAACCAGTGACCTTCTTGCTGTGTGGCAACAGTGCCACTGAGCCACTGTGCCTCCTAGATATACAATAAATGCTGACAAAAATGTATATTTATATGGTTATATTTCACATTTCTCCTTTTCTATTTCTTCACATTATTTGTTGTAATTCTGAGTGTATATTTCACAATACTAACTTAACTGTGAATTGTGAAACAGAAGACAAAATTCTGAGAAAAGATAACTCGTGCTTATAAAAACTATTGTGTGAAAAACTGTGAGATATAAAGTTCCCATTACCTTGGTGGAAACAGTTGTCCAAATACAAGAGTTTCAAATGACAATATATAATATGGTATTCAGTATTACAGTATAACATGTATTGCCTATTTATTATTATCATTATTATTATTATTATTATTATTATTATTATTATTATTATTATTATTATTATCTTTATTTTTAATGTATTAGTCAATCAAAAATACAGCCCAGACTACAGTAGTTTAAATACGGGGGGCCTTGATATTGTCTCTGGGGCCTCCATAAATATATGGGCCCTTAGAATCCTCCTAACTTCTCCACCTAGCGGTGCCCCTGGTTGGAAATATTACTGAAAGTATGAGTAAAAAGTAGCCCTTTCAAAAGTACTCAATGCTCAATAAGTATTACGCTGTAAAAAGCTGATGCATTAACATGTTTTTTTGTGTATGTATAAATGTAACATTCTGTAGTGCATTTAGTTATTGCCCAGCAGGCACACAACGTCATAAGACATTAATATTCGGTTAGATTTATGTTGTGATGTCAGGTGACCAAAATTCACCGTCTAGCCAGGACAACGTTATTTTGATGTCCAATGACGTTAATGGTTAATTGATTTTAGGTTGTGTTGGAAAGTGACCAAAATCCAACGTTAAGCCAACATCTTAAACCAACGTCAAATTGCTGTCAAATACTGACATTTATTCGTAATTTGTTATTTTGGCAATCAAAATAAAATCGGCCACATCATTAGACATTAATACTGATTTTAGGTTGGGCGTTGTACATTGACATTGGCCTGACATTGCGTTCTGACGTCAAACCGATTTTCATTTCCAAACAAAATGCAATGTCCATACAATGTTGGGGTACAACATCAATCAGTTCGGTCATCATACAGTAAACATACAGTACATCATCCTCTCATCAGTGAGATGGATTCAAACAGTTTCTGGGTCAATTTGTGTAAGGGTTTTGGACATCTACTTAGACACTTTTAATGCTTCCAAACAGTTTGCTGCAATTAATATCACCCATATCTTGAGGTAGTTCAGTATGATGTGATTTACCTCTATGTGTCATTTGATTGGACAGGAATCACAGGACTAAAGTAAAAAAGTAGTGACTGCAGGTTGAAGGAAAGTAATGGAGAAAAAGTACCAATACTGCACTAAAAATGTATTCAAGGCAGAGTAAAAGTACACCTTTTTAAAACTACTTAGTAAAGCAAAATATCTGAGAAAAACTGCTCAATTACAGTAGTATTTGTAATTTGTTACTGTACACCACAGTATAATGCAAAAATAAATGAGTCATTTTGATAGCAAAACTGAGCCAGTCTCGGGTATTCACGCTTTCTGAAATGTAGTATGCATATGTGTATGTATGTATGTATGAACAAATTCCATAAATCTAACAGGTCAAGATAAAAAAATTGCACCCACACAATATCAATATGCAGAATAATGATGTTGAATGCCCAACTTACAAAACAATCTAAAATGTAATTGTTGACTGTGGATTGCACTCACTTAGGAATATTTAATTATCTTACCAAAAGATTGACAGACTCAATGACATCCATGAAGACTTCATTTTTCCTGTACTTGATGCCCTCTGACCTCCAGGACACAGCATTGGTCACTGTAGCAGGGGGTCTTGGTGCGCCAACCTCCAGCTTGTGCCCCTGCTGAGTAATATACCTGGTGTGGAAAAAAAAGAACGCCTTGCTAACATTAAAAATGACCAATTATCCATCTATATAAATATCAATCAATATCAATAAATTACCAAAAAACGAGTTTAAGGACAGAATAAATGAGCACACCAGTGCATGTTAGCTTAGAGAGTCAAAAATACAATATATTGTGATCATGATGAATATGGATGATACTGGTTTTGTGGGCATTTCAAAATACTAAGATACATTTTTATTATTATTATTTAACCTTTACTAATCGTCCTACTTTTTGAGTTCAGATTTACAACTAATACTCATATGATGCATGTTTTTTCAAGATAATAGATTTAATATAATAAAGATTTTATTTAATAGAGCTAATCACAATCAGTTCTTTTTCTTTTTAGTAACATTAGCATAACATCTTATTTTGTAGCAAATGTTTTGATGTTACTTAGCATTAGCTAATAAGAGCTATTATAAAATGTATTGCCTATTTTACTTTATAAACCTTTTGCAATTTAGCTGATCCATTTGTTTAATCTGAACATTGATATACAAATTAGACAAAAGAAAAGTTATATTTTTTATTATACTGTACCTATTTAAGTAACCCATTTTGAATATGTCAGTATTGTGATAAAAGCTTCAGCAATTATTGTTCCAGCAAAATTTGATGCCCAGTCAGCTTATATAATAAGCATTGTTTGTCATGGCATTGATCTTTCATCTGATTTGTAACTGACTTACAGATGAGATTAGATTTAAACAAAATCAGTGAGTCAAGTAACTTAGTAGGTTTGTAAACAGACCTCTGGTGTTACAATACTGAGAAAACAAGAGCTCATGGGAAAAACATGGCTTCCCCTAGAGACAGACAGACACCTGAACTTGTTTTTCCATTTCTGTATTTCCATTTTATACAGTAATGCAGTTTTTACATTAAGGCACATACACAACAACACAAATGTAATAGAAATGAACATTAGCACTTACAGTACATTACACAGTGCAATGGTGCACATTAGCTTTCAAGTAAATACACCAAAACAAACTCCTTAAATGTTCAATAGTTGGGATTCCTCATTAATTTCAAATTGATTCTGCATCAGTGTTTAAAACAAGGTCTGTGGTGTGTGTGTGTGTGTGTTTCTTTTAACCTCAAGAGTCTCTAGCTGACAGGGTATTGTGTTGCTGTCAGTAAGAGCTAGTGATAATTAGCTGTCTGCTAAGTGGATGCTTGCCAAGCTAGGAAACTGACAAGAACTTATAAACAAAGATATTTTTAAAAATTATATGAACTCATATGAAATTAAATTTTTAACTATATTCTTTAGTTAGCAAGTTATACTTTTATGTTTATGTACAATTCTTAGAACAAAATTTATAATATACAGTATAAAGTAAATGAATAATTTATTGTTATAATAATTAATGTAGTAATTGCATCATGATTATTTGATACTTTTGGGAAGCCAATGAAAAGGCAACACTCTTAACGAAAATAGAAACTTGTGCTAGCTATATGAAAGCTTTAGCATAGTTTTGCCAGGAAGACTGGTATGTCACTTCATTCATAATAATTATCTCGTCAGCCTATAACGAATAACCAGGTTACATATAAAACCATCTAAACAATTTGTTTTGCTGTAATCAGGTGACATTGTTGAAGTTTCACTCTATCTATCTCAGTAGTGGATAAACATAAAGCGCAGTGAATGGGAGAATACAACTAATTATTTTTTACAATCCTATTTGCTGAAATAATAAAAGAAAAACTTCTCGATTGTGTTATCAAGACTTTCAGAAAAATAAAAAAATTGATGTGAGAATGATGACGGCAGCCAGAGAGACTAACATCAAATTTACTTCCAGCACCATAGACGCTGCATTAGAAACACCTTGCAAAAGCACTATTTTTATTTTATTTAATTTTTTTGTAATTTGACGCAAAGACAATGTAATACATTCATAAAAGTTTCAAGAACTAAAGATTTTGATGACTGTTAAATGAGTCATAGCAGTCTTGTGAAAAGGGTCCATTTTGACATCATTTGATTTAAAAATGTATCTTTAATCAACACTCACGTATATAATAAATATGAAATATTATAGGAATTTACTTGGCCAACTCAAACTATATATTGTATCAAACTTCTAAAAATGTAAATAAATGTTTCTTTTTTAACCTTCTAAACATCAACAGTTACAGCAGAAAACAAAACCCTCCAGAATTCAAAACTGTAAATAAACATATAAAACACCATAAATCACAAGCTATGGGAGGAATATTTTTATGACCATTTTAATAAAAATAAAACTTTTACTTCACTACCTTTCAAAACATACTATTTACTCCACAACAATTCATTAAAAAAATGTTATGATTATTTCATATTATAAATGTTATACCTGGACAAATCGTCATTCTCTCAGAGATGCTTAACCCATGTTTTATTTTTGAACCAGATTTTTGTCTCATTTAACCTGCTAAATCTGCGCTGACCAATTCTTTTGTGAACTGGACTGACCTGATTTGCCTGATTTGTGTGCTTTTACCAGAACACATTTAGTTTTATATACTCAGCTTATTTTATATACTCAGCTACATGCTTTATTTTGTAAGTCTCACTTATTTGCACACATTATGTCAGTAGCAGTTATCAGTGTATGGCACATTTTAGTAATAAAACAAAGTATTTTTTTTAAGTATAAATAAACATTCATTCATTCAATGAGTACAACTGACTCTTAAAACTAAATACATAAAAAATAAGTACTGTACTCCTAAGCTTCAGCAAAACAGTGCTTTTACTATAGGAAATTTAATTATGGTATCTGTACTTTTACTCAAGCACTTGACTTGCTTACTTTCTACATCTCTGTTTACCCAACCATTTCTCTATGTACAATATCACACTAATAATTGCATTGTCAAACTGTGCCCTCTGCACAAGGCACATATAGTGATTATGAATAGCACTGAGCTTGAATAGTGAATGCTGACCCCTCACAGCACTGTTAGTAAGGGATGAATGGTGTTCTCTGAGCAGAGACGGTTGAATGCTCAATCTGTCAGAACTTACTCTAGCAAGATCTTGCTGTCAGTGGTTTGAGGGAATCCAAAGTCCATGACTTCATCCATTAGCTCATATACTGTCACGAAATTGTCTCTAATGCTCTCTTCTTCAAGTGATTTGAAATATTCAGTGAAAACCTGCAAGACAAATGATGAGTATTAATGAAAATAAAAAAATGAAAATGATGTCATCAGTTACTTGCCCTACACTTGTTTCAAACCTCTTTGAGTTTCTTTCATCTGTTCAAAGCAAAAGAAGATATTTTGAAGAATGTTGGAAATTGGTAACTATTGACTTTCATAGTGTTTTTCCTACCATGAAAGTTAATGTCAACTGGTTTCTTCATTCTTTTGTGTTCAAGAGAAACTCATAAAGGTTTGTAACCACTTGAGAATGAGTACACTGTAATCGCTCATGTTGGGGTGACTATGCCTTTAAGGATATGTTATGGTGAGGAAATGTGCTATGGGTATTGATGTTTACACAGCCAGCAATATTATGCAGTGTAAGTTTTTATGGAAGGTGTAGTCATGTTGATGGATAGAAAACACACTTACCTCCACTAATTTGTACAGGAAGGAGTATACAAGAGCAGCATTGGTGTTTTTCTTTGTCATCGCAACCACTGATAAAATCTGTTAAGTGGTAAACAGACTAAACATATGAAGTGCTATGACTAGACAACAGCCGGGTTTAATATTCACATTAGAAGTGGCAGATTGTTCACAGTACAGAGAAGGATACAGTACAGGTTGCTGTGCTTGATCCAGAGGAAATGTGTGGAGCCGTGAATAACAACTGGTGACAACTCTGCTTCTTCCTCTCTCTTCATCATTATCGGCATGAAGTTGTCTATCACGTTCATGTCAATGTTGCCCATGTAGTTGCGACATATGAGCACCTTAGAGATGAAAACAAGTTTAAATGTACGAGACTGTCATAAAAAAGTGCATTGCAATTTTTTCCTAAATGACACTCAACTTGCTGATAATTGTGAATAATCAAAATGCTGATTTTTTTTTTCCAGTTAACCTGTTAAATTCGCACTGACACTGACACATCCTCACTGATTCTTTTGTGAACTGGACTTACCTGATTTGCCTGATTTGTGTGCTTTTGCCAGCACACATTTAGTTTTTACTTATTTTATATACTTACACAGAGTTGTAGTCGTAAAAACAGATGGTGTACTATAACCCACCCAATCCAAATTTTAAACAAAAGCATGATTCATTACCAATATATATTTACACTTACACTTACACACACACACACACACACACACACACACACACACACACACACACATATATGTATATATATATATATGTATATATATATATATATATAAATATATATATATATATATATATATATATATACACACACACACACACACACACACACACATATATATATATATATATATATATATATATATATATAGAGTTGAAGTCAGAATCATTAGCCCCCCTGATTTATTAGTGCCCCTGTTTATTTTTTTCCCAAATTTCTGTTTAATGGAGGTTTCAGCACATTTCTAGTTTTAGAAACCTATTTCCAATAACTGATTTATTTTATCTTTGTCATGATGACAGAAAATAATATTTTACTAGATATTTTTCAAGACACTTCTGTGCAGTTTAAAGTGACATTTAAAGGCTTAACTAGGTAGGTTAGGGTAATTAGGCAAGTTATTGTATAACAATGGCTTGTTCTGTAGACAATCGGAAAAAAAATAGCTTAAAGGGGCTAATAATTTTGTCCCAAAATTGTTTTCAAAAAAATTTAAAACTGCTTTTATTCTAGCCGAAATAAAACAAATAAGACTTTCTCCAGAAGAAAAAATATTATTAGACATGCTGTGAAAATTTCCTTGCTCTGTTAAATATAATTTTGGAAATATTAAAAAAAGAAAAAAATATCTCAAAAGGGGGCTAATAATTCTGACTTCAGCTGTGTGTGTGTATATATATATATACATACCCACATACCAAACATTTTAAGTAAGAATACAAAACTAAATACAAAACTAGCAGTATTTCACCGTATTGCATAGACATTTGAGTTCTGAATGAGCAAAATACTACAAGGCTCAACACACCTGTTTACTGTAGTACAAATCACTTTCTATACTCAAGTACATTTTTTTCCTTTTATTACATAAAACTGTGACTTTTAAATTCAATGTACAGCTTATTTAAATATTTCACTATCAAAAAAATAAGTCGAAATAAGAAATCATTTTTAATACGATACAACACATGATGCTTTACTCTGATGTCAGTCAGATATGCATGCAGTTTAAATGAGCACATTCACTTAGTGGTTCTGTCACTGTGTTTATTCCTGTCATGAATGTACTGCATGTTATAGGCTAGTTAATGTCACATGCACTGTAATTTGTTTTATATTCATAGTTAGTTTTGAAATAAACATAGTGAAATGTTCATTAAGAGTTGCAAGAATCCGCTGGAGGAAACAGCTGTGATGAGGAGGAGAGCGCCGTGGAGACAGTAGATGAGGATCACCGATTGCTCCTCTATGACATTGGGGTACATGTGATACAAGTGTTTCTTTAGCCCTGCAAATATGCAGATATTATAACAATCTATCAATAAACACAGCTTCTGCTCTCACTCTGGACAGCAGTGGTTTGCTGATTAAATGAAAAACTAATTGAAAACGGGAGGAGAAGAAATCTGACTTGTCATCTTTGAAAAACTCTCACGAAATTTTTCTCAAAGCTGCTGCGGTCATCATGGGCTGGGAAATGGCGCAAGTTAAAGAAGTGAAATGCATCAACTGCAACAAATTAAGATGTGAGTTAAAAAAACATTTGCTATACAGTTAAAGGGGACGCGAATATCCGTTTGTTAAGTGGTGACGTGTTTGTGACGTATGTAATACTGTTTCCGGGTCCAAGCCGCCATTCATTTGAGTGGAAAAATCATTCGTTTATGATCACGTTTTATTCCTATCACACATTAAAGTTAATTTTATATAAAATCATAATGTACACAACAATCTCTGGGCTTGCTGCATAACAAATACCAAAAATGTAATTATTTGAAAAAAATTAATCACTTTCTGGCCATTGGATTTTAGGCATGGACATAAATACTGCGATCGTGATTTTCGAAAACCTTAAATCGCTTTGTAACTGTTTATTATTACCATTTCATGAGTCTCCCCATTCAGTTGAATAGAGCGCTTGGACCCAGAAGCCGCTTCGTGTGACGTCACACTTTACAAGCGGATAGGCCTACATAAATTAGGGAAGTCTAATCAGCAAAACAAGTGAGTATACTGAGGGTGTATGCAATTATTGATACCCAAACAGCTTGTGAAAAAAAGTAGGCATACGAAGTGTACATGCGTATAGCCCCGACTACACCACTGTACTTAAAGTAACTACATGGTATATTTTGTTATCATCACCTATTTGTACACTTACATTTTCTCTAAAGTATCAATATATTTTGTCTAAAGTATAAATAAACATTAATAATTGATTAAATAAGTGCATTTTACTCTTAATAATTTAATATATAGAAACTTCTGAACTTCTCATTACAGTATATGTCAGATAAAAATGACCAGCATGCATTTTATGCTTTAAGCATTGCACAATTTGCATTCAGAAAACCAGACATCAGCTTTCAAATTGCATTACAAATCACAGAAAGCCATGTTCTTTTAGGCTATTTTAAGAAAATCACCAAACAACCTGACTCTCACATAAAATGTAGCTATTGAAAATGACAAATACGTTCCTCATGGTATCTTTTGTTGAACGTTTCAGATGACAGATCAACTAGAAGGCGCTGTCTACGTTTTTGTAAACCTGAAATATGCTTCTTTGAGTATCTTTTGTTGTACTTTTCAGATACACATACTTCCTGTACACACCCACGAGAAGGCAAGGCTTGTCACACAGATCACCTCGCAAACGACAGACCTAAACCCTTCCTTAAAGGTGCAGTAGGTGATTGTCTTCAGAAACATGTTTTTTGTGCTGGCTGAAAGTCTCTTCACTTTCCAATAGTAATGATTAAAGTAAAGGATCTAAATGTATTTATATGTATTTTTATATTCTGGCTTTAAGGCATAGAACTAAAAAATGTTCATCCAATTCAAAATTTCAGGACTAAAATTACAATACGTAGCCCTAACAACTGTTTATGGTCATCTATTTGGTAAATGTTCATGACTTCAGAAGGTGTAGCTTTGGACGGCAGGGAGATACAGTACGTGCATTTTCAATGCTACTTATGCTAAATTTAGCATTATCCCAGATCTCCTACTGCATCTTTAAACCCAACCAATTGTGTTTTCACTATCTATCATTTTGTTTTATACTGCAAAACACATAGTTTTACCTTGATTTTACAATGCTTTTGTCTCTTTTGCAAAACTGTTCTTCACTAGACTCAAACTCGAGCACTCTGTATCACAAGTACAATACAGTACAAAGTAAGCTACTGATACTGAGCAAACGAACCACACCTCAAAACATTGTCCATATGGAGACTGATGAGGCAAACATATATTCAATTACAAATTATGGACATTGTTAAGTTGTTTTGTCACTGCAAAAAAATGCTTTTCTTACTTAGATGTTTTGTTTAGTTTCTAGTCCAAATATCTAAAAGTTCCTAAATCAAGAAGCATTTTCTAGACAAGCAAAACAAATTTTCTTGTTTTAAGAAATAATATGACAAAATGAAGTGAGTTTTTCCTTAAATCAAGCAAAATAATTTCGATTTGTGATAAGATTATTTTGCTTACCACATTGGCAAATTATTTTGCTTGATTTAAGGAAAAACTCACTTCATTTTGTCATATTATTTCTTAAAACAAGAAAATATGTTTTGCTTGTCTAGAAAATGCTTCTTGATTTAAGAATTTGTAGATATTTGCACTAGAAACGAGACAAAAAATCTAAGTAAGAAAATCATTTTTTGCAGTGTATTTATTTGGTATTGTGCAGAAAACTGCATGGAAATAATCTTTTTATCGAGAATATGGCCCCATGTTAAAACTCTACTGCCCCATAGCATTTATTTTACATTCAAACTGCAGTCAAACATAATGGTAAACTGCAAAAAATGCTTTTCTTACTTAGAATTTTTGTTTAACTCTAGAAAACCTTGATGGTTACTCTAAGAAAAATATATCTTTTTCTAAAATAAATTGACATCAGCCATCACACAAAAGAGGTTTCCTATGGCCTCAAAATTCTTAATTCTTCAAGACACTTAAAGTACATGGTTTGTTTGCATTGACTCAAATCAGCCTTAAATAATATTAACCACACAACTAAGCATGGGATGATAACCTATTTCTACGATATGTGTAAGTTGTGTAAGTTGTCTACGGTATGTTTTTTTTTTAGGACAACAGTATCTGCAGTAGAAAAGATATCCGAAGATGCCATTTTAAATTGTAAAAATAAATTAAAAACACATTAAGACAGCAGAAGTCAATGAATTGTTTGAATGATTTATCCTGATATGTTTATTATTCCATTATTCATATATATTATAAATGTTTCTTAAAATAGTATTGTGTTCAAAAGGGAAACAGGTTTTTACTTTTTACCCAGACATTTAAAAAAGAATACATTTGAGAGCAGTAATCACAATACTGTGAAATCATGATATTTTTAGCCAAGGTTATCATATCATCAGAACCTTATACCGGCCCTTGCCAACACACAACCAAAGAAAGCTTTGACATCAATATCTTTACTAATCAATGTAAGATACAATCAAAAGTCCAGGTCACTTTTTTTCTTCACTTTTATTCTGCTAACAGGTGCATTCAAGGTTTATAGTAGGATGAAACTTAAAGGATCAGTGAAGTCTGACTTTAATGTGGCTAGTGTTGAGATATTCCTTCAAATGGAGATATTGGATTGCTCTAGGGCACAGACAAGAGCGCTTTCATCAGCAGTGCCAAAATCCAGGGGTATATTGGAGGGTAATCCATTCCACTGAGACCCTGAGGCTCTGTTTTCATGGAAATACTCCCATCCACCCACTACATCTCACAAACTAATGTGCTGTGATCTTCTCTTGAATAACAAACGTAAAAATAAAAATATTGATGAATTAATTAATAAAAAAAAATCGACATAATGCATTTAAAATTAATCAGGATATACAGAAGATACCCACTAAAATGTCATTCAGTGTAAAAATAGTTTATTTACCAAAATCCTGTCAGTCTTTTTTAGAACAAGAATCATTTGATGATGACATAATTACACTTAATCATCCACTGGATGCTTTCATCCACAGTGATTTATAAATGAGGACAATATTAAAAATAAGATCAACAACATGTGATACAGGTACATACCAGAATGTTTTTTTTTCTAACCTTATTATTTATTTATTATTTAAGTGTCAATAAACTGACAATAAAATCCTATTGATCTATTTAAAGATCACAGTACCATGCAAAATACAAAATAATTGTAATATAAAACTTTTATACTTTGCAATACATTTTTATTTATTATGTTTTATCGAACTATTATTCGTTCATATATTTACATAGGATTAAAATAATTGATTTATACATGCTACACTGAATGACGGTGGAATATTGTGTTTACAGTATGTATTTTAACATTTTCACAAATGTTTGAATTTAAATACAGACGATTTGTTTGCCTTTAATAAGTGTTCTACATACACAATATCACTTTTGGCTTAATAACAAGAAAATGCTACAAATGCTGTGGCTATACAGTAGGCTGTCATGTAGCCTACAGTAAATTACTTTACTTTACAAAAAAAAAAAAAAATACTAAGCTTCACCACATCCCCAAAAAATAGTAGGGTACATTTTAATTAGCAGAAGCGAGTTGATGTTTGTTTTCTATAATAGCATTTAAATGTTATGAAATATGTGAAAGGTGAACTCTCCAGTTTCATTCAGTGACAGTCCTGTTAACTTTGAGTGTGATGTGGAGGCTGTATCACTCCTGAGATCATTAGATAGGATTTTTTATAAACCTCAAAGTGAGTAAATACAATTTATGTTGCCAAACGATCCTTAAACCTCAAATATTCTTTGCTATACAGGTTTCAAACAGTGTGACACAAGAGTATAAACTGTCCGACCTTCATCCGACAGGTGCACGCGCACTTACCTTGCCTTTCAGGTCCAGGATGAAGATCGCGGACGCGGCCATCCTCGTCAAAGGTGTTGGATGACAAGAACTAACTGACAGGTGTCGAAGTTTAGCAAATTTTCCTAAAGTTTAATCAGCTGAAATGCCGAAAGATATTCCCCATCCCTAACACGCGAGTCTTCCGGGTTTGTAGGCGTCTAACCGGTTGTGCAGCCCGAGCTTGTTGCTGTGCTGATCACCGCGACGCGACAGAATTAAACCGCTGCCATTATAATCAAACGAGTTTTGTCGCGTCGCTCGATTGTAATGTAGAAACAGCGTGACGCAACTTCAGCTACCTTTAGGTGAAACAACAGGCACATATAAAATATTACCCCTAATTTTTGCCATGACTGAAATATATTATGGCTTGAATGTTTACTTGTGTCATTTATAAATGATTTTTACAATATATAATAATAAAAATTATAATTTATCATTTGGATTTAGTAATGAGCACAACGGCGGCGCCCAGTGGAAAATATAGGAATGCAATTTTCTCAACAAAAAAAAATCATTTAATTTAGAACTGAAGTGAAACACAAAACTAACAAAAATGTAATAGACTGTACAGTATATGGCCCAAAAACGCTAGATATATATTTTAATATTATTATTTAAAAAATAAAGTTTCATTAATGTTAGCAAACATCCGATTTAAGATTATAGTTCAAATACGCCTACTGTACATTCAAATTTCATTGCATTTTGATTCACATCTTTTCATACACTATTGTAAAAAGTACAAAATTGCCAAAATGTGTGAATTTCTGAAATAATTAGAAAGCATTAGGCTACAAAATAATGAACCTCAATTAAATATTAATGTGGCTTAAGGAACAGTTCACCCAAAAACAAAATTTTTTGCCGACCAATCAATTCAATTTTATACATTAATGACTTGTCACATGTTTTCCTGTATGTTGTTGTTGTTTATCTCTCAAAGTGCCAAACAGTTCCAGTTGTTCTACTGAAAAAAAGTTACTTGCATCATTTATGTACGGTGACCGAGAGAGCCTAACATGCTGCAATTTAAGAAAACAAATGCAATTACAAAAAACATCAGCAAATTACGGAAAGATCTTCATCAGTTTGACAGTGCATACTGCAAATCCTCATAACGCAAACACATTTTTAAAAAAGCACTGCATTTTTCCACAAAGCAAACAAATTAATAAAATGCACAGCATTTTCTCACAGCACAAACAATTTACAAAAACGTGCTGCATTTTCTAAAAACGCTTGCAAAAAGAACAGAAACGTAAATGTTTCAAGGTGATCCAAAAACATGACGGACGCCGCTTTGCCGTGGCTTATTTTAACATCCTTATTCCCTTGTCTTCTGTGATTTATTAGCCTAAATAACCATTGCTGTATCCCAATTCGCATACTATCCTTCTAAATTATTTGATGTAAGTATTTAAAAATAGAATTAGTATGTCCCAAATCATAGTATGTTGAAAACAGTACCCCAAAGGTTCCTAGATGGTTTACTGTTTCCGGTAAAAAGAAAATTTAAGTGTAGAACCGTCCATACTCTAATCGCTGCTATTGCCCACAATATATTGTGCGGTGGATGTGAATTGGATTAGAACTACAAACGCGGGGAAATAGTGTAAATAAACTACAACATGGTGAGATCAAGGGCGAGGCAGTGGCGCAGTAGGTAGTGCTGACGCCTCACAGCAAGAAGGCCGCTGGGTCGCTGGTTCGAACTTAGGCTCAATTGGTGTTTCTGTGTGGAGTTTGCATGTTCTCCCTTCCTTCGCGTGGGTTTCTTCCGTGTGCTCCGGTTTCCAG